AATAGCCGTGACCTTGAGTATTTGCCACAAACTCAAAGTTTCTAGCTCCTATTTCTATGCAACTTGATGGTGTAAACTTTGATATTTCAAACAGATTATTTAATCTAAAAGAAATTATATTTTTGAAACATCTATGGTCTATGATATTGGATTGCAAAGATATAGGAAATAGAAAATCAAAGTTTGTGGCAAAGACTCAATCCCTCAAAAAATTATTTATGACATATTTTTATGTTTTAACTATTATCTTCTGTTTATCCTCGTTCAGGAAATATTTTTACAATAATTATAATACATGATCGGATTTAGAAAAGTCTAAATGTGCCCAGCCCTACCTAAGCTGGTTCATGTTTAACTGACAAATAGACTTCTTTATTTTAAGTGTACTAAATTTTGTTTAATTCCTATAATGGATATCATTTATAATTCTATAATAATTTTCGTTTTGTTTAAATCTTATATAATTAAGTTTAAAAATAATCTAAAATCAAAATTATTAATGAATATTGAATAAACATTTATGAAATTCTACACTCAGTCCCAGAATATTATGTAAATCATCATTTTGGGAGAAAAAAAATAACCTGAGGAATTTTTTTTCTTTCTACTTTTAACAAAAACTATTTCTTACAAGTTCGCAAAAAGAAAGTTTCTTTGTTTATGTTTTGCTTATTATTTTTTATCTGTAAGATGACCACCTATAAAATGTTTTTTTTTATAAAACGTGCCAATATCACCCATTAAAGTCACACTCAAAAACGTCCATATGTCTATCACCAAAAATTCCATGAGGAAAAACAATCATTAGAACTGTGTTCTGGAAAAAAATTCAAATTAAAAGTTTTTCTTGAATTTTAAAATTTTAGAAAACAGTAAAATCAGCTAAGCTCTCATCATCTCAAGGTTAAAAGGATAAAGAGGGACGAGAAGCCAAGTTTAAGATGATTCATAGGATAGTTTAATAAATTGATTTTCACTTAATGGCTAATACCAGACCAAGAACAAATTAAACCAATTATTTATCCATGTGTACTATGTAGTGTACAAATGTGTCCGAAAACAGAGAAAATTTTGTCTTTGGCGAATGAAGGGCTCAAATAATAAAAAATTTCCAAAACTGGGCTTGGAATTCAATGCTAAAAAGAGGGGCTCGAAGCTCCATGAATTCGTGAAAGTTTTGCAAACCTTTGTGGAATTTCCTAAAACAAAATTGAAAGAAAAAAGTATTCCTACTTTTTAGAACTGTATTAATTTCGTTCAAGTGTATAAAAGGTTAAAAATCAAAATCATGAACCGATAAGAAAAAGTTACCCCCCTTACGTTTTACGCGCGTTGAACGCAAAATGCCAAGTGTGCGCGTGTATAAATGTAATCTTCTGTGCGCTATGCTCTCAGTTGAACAATAGCCGGGAAAAATGATGAAGTTTTTGGTGAGATTTGACTCTTCATGTTTAAAAGTCTTCATTTTATCTTTCTGAAACTCTAAAAATTGTCTTTTTTCATGATTTTTAAAATGAGAATCTCAATTATAATATTTCATTCAGAAAAATGTTTTGGCGTTTGAATGAAAATCTTATAAATAATCGAAATAATGTTATAATTTATGAACAAATCAAAATTTGTTCCAAAAGCACAAGGCATTTTTTCTGAACTTTTCGTGATTCTGTGAAAAAAAAAATTTGATTATTTTTTCTTATTTTTTAAAAACATTTTTTACATTTCTAACGTCAAATCTCATAATTTTAATTTGTGATTATCTTTCGCCACATTTATTCCTGTTTCAAGGATTTTTGGTAATGAAGACGACATTTTCATATTTTCCAGGAATGTTAGAAAACAAGTTGTAAGCTAAATATTATTTTAAAAAACAAAATCAAAACTAGTATGAAATATCAAATATATACAAATGTGGCGAAAGATAATCGATGACTATAGGTTGTAATATCTGAATGATTTGTTTGAAATTAAATTGATCTTTTTACGGTCTAAGTTGTATGTTGCAATTTTCTCAATTTGTATGGACGCCATGTTATTCGGTATGAGACGTCTTTAACAATTTTCTCCTTATAGACGCAACAGATAGAAGTAAGATTATTAGCGATCAAAAGCGCTTTTTTATCGTATTAAGCCTATACCCCCTTTCATTTTTCGCGAACACTCCCTTTAAATTTTCCAAAAAACAACAAACAATCTAGAGACATTCTGTTTAGCTGTACATTAAAAACAAAGAGACAAATCAAATATATAGAAAATAGGACACACACTTTCGGATCTACTGTAGACTTTTAGATTTAGTATTAAAAAGCCAAGATTGAGTGGAATAACAAAGCATGGATGCACACACACTATATTTACATTATAACGATACAAACGATTATTGTTGGACCGACTAAAGTTGATCGTAATATACACGACATTGCTTGGGGCGAATATGTTTCCATTCGACTCTTCTGATCAGATGCTTCGTGCTAACTAACTCTCCCCTATGGAACTCCGGGGCTAAGATCGCGACGATATGCTTTCTCTGGCAGCAAGATAAATGCCATTCAACTTGCTATCTTTAGAAATACTCTTGTCCCTTTTCATTGTTACTCCTTTCTCCAGCATTGATCCTTGCACCCCATGGCCGGCGGGTGGTATCTCTAGATAAGAGAAGGGGTTCAATACCCTTGTCCCCCTACACTGTTATGTATTTAAACAAACATACCTGGAGTTCAATACCCTTTTTAATTTTTTAAATTTTATTTCGTGGATTTTTTTTGCTTAAATTCGCGCATTTTTAAAATCTTTAATGTCAACATTTTTTTCCGCGCAAAGTGTTTTATCTTTAACCATTCACTAACCTTAATATGAGTTGCCACAAAAATTTTACTTTTTTGGATACAAACCAAGAAACAGAAAAACAAAGTAAAATATATACAGGGTGTCCCAAAAAAATTTAGAAAATCTTTAATTTTTCTCATACTTTATGAACGAATGAAAATGAGACGTGAAAAATAGAAAAATAGAAAATCCTGGAAATAGATTTTCGACTTACGCTCAAATAATTGGTTGTAACAAAAAATGTATGAGACCTAGAAGGAAATAACTGAAATATAGAGCTTTCTAATGACACCTTGATCGTAAAAATTGAACGAAAATTGTTTCCTCAGTTACTAATACCCCTACTGCACAGTTTTTCTGGGACACCCTGTATAGAGGATGATAAATCTACCGCGCCCAGCAATGATGACGTGGCAACTTCCCTTCCCTTCATTAATCTTAATCTTGTTTAACCTTTAGTTAATTTATTCAATATTCATATATACAGGGTTACCCACAAAGGATGAGACTTCAGAGACGACTGTACGTAATGTATACTGTCTGTTTCCTTATATTTATGGTTTTCCAAAAGATTCATTACGCATTGATTTCTGAACAATCATGGCGAATTTGGCCACAAAGATATTTAAGATATTTAGAATAGATTATACAATAAGAACAAAAACTCAAGTTAGTACAACGCACAATCGCCCAGTGTAAACAGGCCCATGCGTTTCACTTAATAAGTGATTCAATAAGTTAATAGCAAAACTATTTGCTTTGTAACAACATCAAACATCCTCATCTGTTAGAATATTCTTTCAAACATCAAATATATAAGAGAATAGATTAATCTCTGTTCTGTGTCAAATACACTGCTTAAATATCTTGTTCATATTCCACATTCACTCAGAACTCTGGGTCATTTCAAGTACCAGACCGACTATCAAACATTTCAAGTACCAGACCGACTTTCAAACATTTCAAGTACAAGACCGACTTTCAAACATTTCAAGTACCAGACCGACTTTCAAACATTTCAAGCACCAGACCGACTTTCAAACAGCCTAAGCAAGCTGCATAGTACACACATAGAGTAATAAAACGAAGAGGTGAAGCTTAGCTCAGATGTACACAACCAACCTCCCTGTTAATTAATTAATAGAACTGTATATTTGTTTATAAAGTGATCGTATTTCTAAGAGGGATTTTATGGAATTGACCAATTTTTAGATTTTCTTTCTTTATTTAAATCCTTATTAAGTGTCTATCTAATTATCAATACTAATATTCAAATATCTACATAAAACCACCCCTTAGAAATACGACCACTCTATCAATTAGTTAATAGGGAGGTCGCCGTCGGTTGTGTACATATGAGCTAAGCTTCACCTCTTCGTTTTATTACTCTATGAGTACACAGTACAGACTATATAAATCAAACTTGACAGTACAATAAATGGTTCAGCCCCTTCTAGGCAGATTATACAGTACACTCTTTTGGTACAAACACACCACATGACTACAGTCACGAAAATTGCAGAACAATTTGTCGTCAATAATAATTAAGCTTGAATAACGAGTTGTTTACTGTATATAGTGTTGACTTAAATGTATAAATAATATTCTACATGTATATAAATAATATTCTACATGTATATAAAACTTATTCTTAAGAAAACAATTAACAATAAACAAATATACTCTCCTAGACTGTACAAATACCGAGAATCGTATGTACTGTATATACCTACAGCTTAGACGCCTTTGGTTCGTTATCACTTACACACACTCTTTTAGTACAGACACACAAACATGACGTTTCCGCCCCGTGAATATATTTTATACTCCTTGGTCTCAATTGAAGTTATTCCTTGAAGAGATTCAAAACACAAAACTTTTCACTTCAGTTCACACTTCAGTTGATTACGATTAATTTTAAATAAAAATTATATGAATCATTTCAATCCCATCCTTTGTTTTTTTACGCAATACTCCTAATTTTCTGGGTAGATGCACACTCCCCCCCCCCCTCCATCCTCCTCGTCAAACATCATATCTATTGTATTTAATGCATTATCCATGGAACTACAATTGTATATAATATACATTTTTCAGATTTTGACATATTTTCCTGAAATTTCCTCAGCACTTTTTTTAAGCAGTAAAATGCACTTTACAAAAAATTAACTCTCATTTAATTTCATGTTTATTGTACAGCAAGGATCAATCTGAAGGTAGTCAAGACTTGGCAGTACGTCTGAATGCATGAAACAGTACATGTTGTACCGGCTAGCGGAAAATGCAACTTTTAAAGTGGTGTGGGCATGTTTACCCCCCCCCCCCCTTGTTTATGGGTGAGCATTTCCTCTTCACATAAAACAATAACAACAAAATCGGCTCTGGTAACCTCCGATTATTATTTTTTTTTATTTAGGTTCTCTGCACTTGCACCACCTTGTCTTTATCTGCCCCTGGAGCATACTACGGACTCGTCCAGCATCCTAACGGAGCAGTCGTCCCTGTGGACGAACCGGCCGTTGCTGCTGCCCGGGCCGATCATCTTGCAGTTCAAGCAGCACAGTACGGAGCTCTCCATGCTGTACCTGCAGTACCTGCTGTCCACCACCCTGCAGGATACTCAGGTCCTATCCATATCCCTACTCTAGTCTCTCATCCCAACGGTGCTATTGTCCCTGCTGATGAACCTGCAGTCACTGCAGCTCGAGCTGATCACCTGGCTGCCCATGGATACGCCTATGCTGCTGCAGCAGCTCCCATTGGTTACGCTAGCGGAGCTTTTGTTGCTCATCCTAACGGCGCTGTTGTACCCGTAGATGAACCTGCTGTAGCTGCGGCTAGAGCTGAGCATCTTGCTGCCCACGGAGTGTATGGTCCCCATGCAGTTGCTGGACCTGCTGCCTATGCATATGGTGGACTTGTGGCGCATCCTAATGGCGCTGTTGTTCCTGTTGATGAACCAGCTGTTGCTGCCGCTAGAGCAGAGCACTTTGCCGCCAAGGAATAGTTATATTTAAGCAGACTTTTTTTTAATGCACAATTTTGGATTTGACAATTTTCTGTTTGAACCATTTATATTGGAAGATTTCCAATATCTCTACATTTTTTCCAGGAAATTTTGTTTGATTCAAAAGCCCTCTCTCTCTCTTTACCAGTAAAAGTTAAACCCCATGAATAAATATAACTGAACTATATAGGCTGCAGTTGGCCACTGAGAACCATCTAGTCACATTTCTATATTCTTGAGAGTTTTGTTCAACACAAATAAACAATTAAAATTTGAAATAATATTAATTTTTATTGTTTGATTCCTAGTTTTAAACAGGGTTTCCCACAAAGGATGAAACTGTAATGAAACCCTAAAATTTATGAAAAACTATGACTTGATGTTTAAACTATAGTGTTAAATAACACTAATCTTTACCCGCTAAATCTCGATATCCTCTTAAAGGAATTGAGTTTTTGCCACAAAGTCTGATTTTTATAATCTCTATATCTTTGTAACCCAATGCCGTAGACCTTAGATATTTTAGACTATTGATACGTACTTATAAATAAACTAATCTAAGTTTGAAATATCAAAGGTTTTCATCAAAAGATTGCAAAGATATTGGAATCAAAAGATTTTAGTTTGTGGCAAAAACTCAATTTCTTTGAGGGATAAGACCGTGATCCCTCAATTTTAGCTTATTCGTCGTCGTATATATCAATACAATAAAGACGGCTTTCGATTTCAATTTTTGACTTTTACCAAGCTTTCAAACAGCATGGAATACACATTATTATGGAAGCCAAGAGAAGCTGTAAGCTATGGAAGTCAATGTCTTAAAGTATTAAATGACCATGCCGTTTAATTTTTGACATTTACTTGTTGTTAGAGCTTCAGCTTTTTAACCCTTATTTTAGTATATTTTTAATCCTAATTTTAGTTATTTTTAATCCTAATTTAGTATATTTTTAACCCTAATTTTAAAATGTTTTTTGAAAAATATGGTAAAAAAGCTCTAGCTTCAACAACAAATACTAAAAACGTTTAAGATTTCATTAATATGAGAAAAATTCTTTAGTTCAATGTGATAAACATCTTGATGAGACTGAACAGAGGTAAGTAACCGGAATTGTTTAATCCTTTTCCTTACATTTATTTTTCCCTGCAAACCAAACCAGCTTCTTTCTTTTTAATAATTTTGTGATCTATTTAAATAATAAATTAAAAGCAAAAACCAAAATCAAGTTTAAAATCGTGATCTTCTAAGAGTTTTGGGTCAGCATTACATTCTCATCCTTTGTGGGTAACCCTGTACGTAATTTTTAATACAACTAGGCTTTTAATTGTGAACATTTTTACTTTGTATAAATTGTAAAACAAAAACAAATAAAAGTTGGCGGATTTTGTAAAAAATTTCGTGGATTTTCAATTCTGCCCGATCAGTTCAGCCGTTTTGACGTTTATTGGTTACATACAAACAGACAATCGAAGTATATAGATAGATAATAAGATAGATGCAATTTAGCCTAAAAAGTGTTTTTCATAAAAATTACAAAAGTTCAAATATCTCTGGAACCCGATATCATAGACCTTTAATATTATTTCAAACTATTAAATCTGTCAGATCAAATAGCCTATATGAAATATAGTATAACATACCAACGATTTGCTCCATCAGTATTTAAACAGGAGGGATAGTTATAATCTGCCTTTGTTAAAATACTATTATATTTAGTTTCTGTCAATATATATATATCAAAATAAATAAGGAAATAAATGTTCCAAATATTAACAATTTAACTTAAATGGCCGGAACTACAGGGTTACCAACATAAAGGATGACCTGAAGGTTAAGTTTCTGGGGTGTCCGATTCAGAACAACACATGCACTTAAAATCTTTATTTGTTCAATAATGTTGAACTAAAGCTATTTTATAGCTTGAAAATGGTTTAATTCCGACAAATTTCTCCATTGTTTTTATCTTCAGCAGAAGTTCCTTTTGTAGAAAAACCCCATTGAAAATAATCAAAGAGAAAAACACAATACTCATTCCTTAATAAAAAGCTGGCTTTTTGGTATGCAACAATTTTCCTTTAATCCCGCCACTTTTAAAGATAATAATAAATAATAAAAAAAAATTGTCATTTTTACAAAGGAATGTCATCAGACAAATTAGAATCAATGGAAATTTAAACCTCAGATTCAATGATAAACCCGAGGGCGAGAGTAAATGATATATTTATTCTTGATCCGACAAATATTTTACTTTTGTACTCTTGTCAATCAGAAATGCCCCTCTTTTTTATTTTAATGAAGGGATACTTAAAATTACATTTACATTATTTACATTCCTTTTAAGTCATCTTATCTTTTATATTTGATCATATATTTGATAATATATTTCATAAAATATATATTAGATAAGAATACAATTATTATCTGGGTAAAGGAATTAGGTCTTTGCATGCTACAAATTGGGATTTTATAATCCATATAATTTTGCCACCCCATGTTGTAGATTTATAAAAAAATTAACTCTGTTAGATTAAATAATCTAAGTTTGAAATATCAAAGGTTAACAACATTTGGTTGCAAAGATATAGGGATTAGAAATTTCTTTACATATTTTTCAGGGTCCCAACATCAGGAAGAAGACTTTTCAGCTGGTCTGAGATATGAGCCTCCTAAACAGTTTATAGAGTTAATCTTATGGATTCATTAATTAAAGGAGGACACATCTTGTATTGTGGATATCAAGATCAATGCATAATCCCCTCGTTTTGACAATCTACAGATTTTTGTAGATCTTTAAATGTTATTTGATATCCAGAAAAGTCTCTTAAATTGAACCAATCAGAGTGTTGTTTGCAGATACCGAACAGAAGCCGACAATTTTGCGCCCAACCAACGAGATAACAATTTGCTAACTTTCCCGCACTCTCATTGGTCGGTACCTCGAAGAGATTTCCAAATTAAGCAGAAAATAAAAAGTGTTCACAGTTGATATCAAGTTTAATCAAACGGGACAAAGGATGATATCCAATACAAAAGAAGAAAAACACAGAAGAACAATTAGTTTTGAATACTTGAACAGACATATTAAATCTGGCAAAACATTTGGTGTTCATCCAAGAAAAAATAAAAATTCAGAAATTGATGCTTTTCTGGAATTTGCGGGGCAAGAACAATTTTCAAACCATTTTCCCAAACATGTGCAACAACTCAGAATGGCTTTCAAAAAATAATAGAATTGTTTTAACAATTTTTAAGAGCAAAATAAACTGGCCCCCACCCCCAAGAAGAATTAGTTTACTAGCAAATAAATTCCTAATTTGAGATAAAATTTCTAAATATAATTTTCCAACTTACTTTGATAATACTTTATATAAAGTCTTTATAAAAAATTAATGGTATTTTAAATTTTTTTTTGTTATTTGATGATTTTGTAAACACAATTTGACAAAAGCCCCGCTTCCCCAATCTAATATATCTATCAATTACATTTCACACATAAGAACAAATCTATTTGTTAAATACAAAGCTGATTATTGAAAAATCTGTATGTTCCAATGAAAATAAAAATGATATATTCCACTGGTTATAAAATATAAAAATATATATATAAATATATATATAAAATAAAATATAAAATATGGTCAAAACTAGGTGCTAAATTTGATTTGTGGCTCTATCTAAGCAAATGAGCAATTTCTCTCAGTTTCTACAATATAAAATAATAACAAAAAAGTTCACAGATTTAAAAAAAATTTTTGGTGAGTTAAAACTTTTTTACGAGTATCATATTTGTTTGAACATAAACTTTTGTAATTCTGAGGGTCCATAAACCTTAACTGGGGTCATATGTGTTGCCAAAAAAATGTTGGGCCTAACTGGTTCAGCCGCTTAGACACCCAGACAAACAAAGACTATTAAAAAGGTTTGAGGTGACCTGGTAAATAGGTTTGTATTGTATTGTTTTGCTTGAATTTGTCTTGTATTCATGATCTACTAGGAGACGATTCACTTTACCAATCCTAAACAATTTTAATCATATATATAGATCAGATGTATATATTTTTTAAACAGGTTCGTAGCTAGAAATTTGTGAAGTTATGGGCGCTGCGGAGGCAAAACATTTGTTTACGTAAAATACTCAATAAAGGTCAAAATTAATGAATCAAAACTAAAAACTAAATTTTAAACTTATCACACATTATGGTTTATTAAGATAGATATTTTGCCTGTTTTCTTTCCCTTAAGTGATATTTGCATCAAAACAAAAAAAAATGGAGGTATCAGATTTATAGATTTGAGTTTATCTATAAAAATAAATGTACTACTGAAAACTTTTGATTCATGAATAGCTAATACTTAATTTTTGGGTAAAACAGAAAACAAAAAATCGGACCGACCCTTTTATTTATTACTTCTTTGCCTGAAAAAAAATAAAATTTGCTTGTATCCCAAGGACCATACGTAAAAAAGCTAAAAATATAGTCAGTCACGGATGCCTTAAAAATCCCCCCCCCCTTCAGCTAAATAACTAACTTACTTTTTCCCCGTCACTTGATCCAAGAATGCCACGTAAGATTTCCTCAAACTTTGTGGTTCCAACATCCCCATGTGGAAGAGAACAGCTGTTGAGGAAGCATAAATCAATTCTAAAATTAAATTTTTTTCAGTAACTCGGTAATGTTTTGGATCCAGATCCGTATCTGAAATATCTGGGGATCCTGGATCAGGATACGAATTATAATTATTATTCTTATCATTTTTATCAATATAATTGTTATTGTTATTATTATTATTATTAATATTATTTTTATATTTATATTTTCATCATCATTGTTAACTTCTAATTATACTTTTTCTAACAATTAGTATTAGTATACCTGTTGCAAATGGTATTTTAGGAAGGTATCCTGACTTGGACGACATTCGTAAAACTATCTAAATATTAAGGTATAGGTTCTTATTGGAGAAAATGGTAAAAAATCTTGGAAACTTTAACAAAAGAAAATCTTTTTAAGATGTACGGGAAAAATGTATTAAAAATATTGGACCCTGCTTACCTCTACTAGCTTCCAGAAAGCATAGAGAGGTATAGAATTATTTCTATATATCAAATAGCTTGGACTGCTTATCAGACCTAATCAAATAAAAAAAATTATGAAGATTTTCTTACAAATAAAATTAATATAAAAAATATGTATCAAAATTACAAACTAAATGTTTCGTCATGCATGCATTAAGAAAACCATTTAATTAAGGTAATTCTATAAAATGTCTTAAATATTTCAAAATGTAAATATTTTTTAAAAATAATAAACATAGATGAATAAATGTATATAAATATTGTTTTATAAACTAAATGTCTCTCCTCACATCTTGCTTTACTGAGTTTAGGCCAAAGCACTAAAAACAGCCGATTAACCCGGCGGATCCAAATAACATTGTAAGTTGTATATTTGTAATATCTCATCCTCTCGTTAAATGAAAATAATAATAGTTGATTGATTGATTAAATGTTTTACCTGCCACCAAACCATGCCAACCTTCGACACTGCCGCTGAATTTTCTCAACACAAACATACTCATCTATTAAAGATATTGTTGTAATTTGCTAGCAATGAAATAAGACAGAAAATAAGTTCATTAAATATTATGATCAAGAATTCAGGTAGATTTGGGCAATGTTCTGTTAACAAACTAAAAAAGTCTGTTAGCAAACCGTAACAAACGTTAACTTTGAATCGTTAACAAACGTTAATAGTTGTTTCTGAAAAAAAATTAACAGTTTATCAAAAGAACAAATTAACGGCCACTTTCTTTAATTTTTCAACTTGAAATCGCATTAAACTAACAAATTTTTTTTTGTATTTTGATGCCTTTTTACAGACCTTGATGTTTTAAAATGTTGTCTTTAATTCTAAAGTAAACTAATAAGTTGTTTAGGAACAGGTTGAGAAAAGAAAAATTAAATCTTATCATCGAAAATAAATAATCTAATTCAGTTATTGGTTTCTGTGATGTCTCATTGTTGACAAAAAATTTTCTGTAGATTTTCTGGAATTTTTATTATATAGACGACATTTGAAGAAATCTGCGTGCAAATTCGTAAAGAATAAGAAATTCAATAAAATGATGAAAACGAACTAATTGATTCTAGCATTGATTTATTGACAAATTTCTATTAAGAAATATGTTCCTAAACATCTAATTACTTTTCTGTAGAATTTTTGATACATTTTTCGTTATCGTTATTTAATAATTTTAAAAAAATCAATTCTCAAAACGTAACCACTCAAATGGATAATTTTTAACGTCGACTTTGCGCTCAAACTCAGTAATTATTCATTATTAAAACGTTTTATATGTCTCAAATTAATTCTAAAAAATTTCTCCACAATACTATATTCTCATTTAAACTACCATACATTGCCGGTCACTCCCAATTTAAGATAACTTGAGACACTGTTTTTTTCAAAATCATTTTTCGTCACAACTTTGCAAGGAGACTTTTAAATGATGATTAAATACTAAACTTTTTTTCTTACCCTGGAGAGTAAAGTGAGGGACCCTAGAAAGAAGCCAATTCTTGTCTTGTCTATCCAACCACCAGATGAACGACGACCTTTTCTAAAAGAAAGTTTTGTTAAATTTTTTTAATTCAACAACAACCTGCAACTCATATATCAGTTAATCATAACATGGCAGTTGGACGTTTGGGTTAATCTGATGTCTGCTCAATAAAATAGGTTAATCTGATGTCAGCTGAATAAAATAGGTTAATCTGATGTCAGCCACGAAATATTGGTTAATCTGATGTCAGGCAAGAAATATTGGTTAATCTGTCAGCTGAATAAAATAGGTTAATCTGATGTCAGCCACGAAATATTGGTTAATCTGATGTCAGTCAAGAAATATTGGTTAATCTGATGTCAGCCAAGAAATATTGGTTAATCTGATGTCAGCCAAGAAATATTGGTTAATCTGATGTCAGCCAAGAAATATTGGTTAATCTGATGTCAGTCAAGAAATATTGGTTAATCAGATGTCAGCCAAGAAATATTGGTTAATCTGATGTCAGCCAAACAATATCGGTTAATCTGATGCCTGCTGAGAAGTATTGGTCTAATCTAATAGAAGTTAATCTGATGTGATCTGGGACAAATTATTTAATCTGATGTCAGCCGACATAGATCCATTAATCAGATGTCAGACGACTTAGATCCGTCAATCAGTTGTCAACTGACACAGATCAGTCAATCAGATGTCAGCTGACAGAGGTCAGTTAATCAGATGTCGGCTGACAGAGGTTAGACAATCAGATGTCAGCTGACAGAGGTCAGTTAATCAGATGTCAGCTGTCAGATGTCAGTTAATCAGATGTCAGCTGACAGAGTTCATTTAATCAGATGTCAGCTGACAGAGGTCAGTTAATTATACGTCAGCTGACAGAGGTCAGTTAATCAAATGTCAACTGACACAGATCGGTTAATCTGTCATCTGATAAGGATACATATATTCACCTTATTAGATTGAACAGACTGAGAAGAATTTGACCTCCGGCACCGAAGAGAAAATGCTTAAAGCTTGCCTGTGCTTATTTCAAGATTAAAAACAATTTCCAGAAAATGTTTGCTTCTTTTCCAAAAATGCAAAATTGACCAAATCTGTTCTCAAATACCACATAGATATGAGACGGAATTACTGTGAAATTTTAACCACCGACTCTTTTTAAAAATGTAATTAATTCTTCTGATTGGAAACAAAACAAAGAAACTGTTTGATTATTTGCGCATGATTGATTCCACCTACTTTGCCTATTCCCTGGTATGTAACATTTGATAGTTTTATGGGAGAAATCTCAACTGTAATACAAATACAAAAAACAAGGAGTCGGAAAATGGAACCAGTCAAAACTTTTGTTTGAAGTAGCCCTAATATACAATGCCTGAACTCTTGAATTTGAGAAATAATTTTTTGATCCTTCAATTTTAATTAAAGGGAGTGACCGGCTATGTAAGGTAGTTGAAAAAAAACTAATTCTGAAAACGTATCCATCCCCAAAGTAAGAGTTTTGAAAGTCGAATTTGCGCTTAAACTCAGGATTTACAGATCTTTACAAAGTTTAATATGTTTCAAATGAATCCGAAAGAACTTTTCCACAACACTGCATAGTCTCCCGGTTTCAACATCACATGGAATGTGAAAGAGGAATTGATTTATTCTGAAAGGACTGTACAATTGTATTTTAAACACAAAAGTTTAAACCTCTTAATGAAAATTTAATCTAGTTGTGATTGATTCAGTTTATCTTGTTCCTTGATTGCTGATGTAAGATAGGCATGCCGCTGATCTGGATCGAATTCATCATGCTGCTGATCTGGATCCAATTCATCATGCTGCTGATGTTTATGACCCTCCTGAAGATTTTTAGATGCTAGTTTCTCACTTTTTGAATCTTGAATCAGCAATCTAAAAATTTAGCAATGTATTGTATTTGCATGTGTATTTTGTTCACTTGATTCTCATCTCATATTTGAAAATTAAAGTTATCTGAAATTTTGGAAAAATTGGAAAAAAGAACAACAACAAGAATTGTTAAAATTATAATTTGTGATAATTTAAAATTGAACTGCCGGAATAAAACAATCAAATTATAATTAAATTAAGATTTTTAAATGAATTTTCAGATCAAATAATTGATTTCATTTGAAAACGTATATATTTTAATATTTTTAGAAATCTACTATAATGCTGTTGACGGAAAACAGCAACACGCTAGACAAATCAGGATAATAGGCCGGTTAGGATTCTGGTGGGGGATGTTTATTATCCCCAGACAATTCTTTCCCGATAGGCCGCACAAATACACACACAACAGAGTAACCCCGTCTCAGAAATTCGATAACAAAATCTTTATTTCCTAAAAAATAACATAAATTATGGGTCATGTTTACTTGTACAATGTTATAATGAATGTTAATAGTAGAAAAAATCTTACGAATTATTTAAGGATAGTCGGGGTGACTTATTTGTTGATCAGTATTGAAATACGTTTTTTAACTTCTGAAAAATTACAGTTGAATATTTAACGAAATTCACTAATGCTTCTTATGAAAATATTTTGCTTAACTTTAATGATTTCACAACTACGAAAATATTTTAAGCTCCGTCGGAGGAGGACAAGGGAATTGCGGGCTGAAAATTTGGTCTGGCTGTCTCCGACAGGAGATTCAAGTTGAAGACGACATTTTATAGAGGTTTTAAAATTAATGGTTAACAAATGCATACAAATGTTAAACATGCCTGAAACAATTATGCAAAGGGTAATATTTTTTGTCCTAATTAAGAACCATGAAGTTACTAATAAAAATATTTCAAACTTGGTGACAACAAATACACAATTGTTTTTTTGTATTGGTTGACAATATCTCATTGAGTATAGAATTGGTATTCTTTTATTTGATTTGTAAAAGATTGGCGCCCTTCAAATAAAATTCTTTAAACAGAGCTATAATTGTTTTTCCATGTTAAGTGAAAAGGTTGCTCACCAAAGGCGTTTACAGGGGGGGGGACTGTGGAAGATAAGCCCCCCCATCCAATAGTAAAAACAAGGTTAAACCCTGATACAATTTAAGGAAAGGATGTTTCACCTTGTTAATTTGAGAGCAGGGTCCAGAGATGGGGTTTCTAGAGTTGTATTGAGATAATGATACCCAGACATTGATATAGAAAACAGTAAATAATCAACTAAACAGTAGATAGTCAACTAAACAATAGATAATCAACTAAACAGGAGATAGTCAACTAAACAGTAGATAATCAACTAAACAGTAGATAATCAACTAAACAGTAGATAATCAACTAAACAGTAGATAATCAACTAAACAGTAGATAATCAACTAAACAGTAGATAGTCAACTAAACAGTAAATAATCAACTAAACAGTAGATAGTCAACTAAACAGTAGATAATCAACTAAACAGTAGATAATCAACAAACAGTAGATAATCAACTAAATTGTAGGTAATCAACTAAATAGTAGATAATCAACTAAACGTTAGGTAATCAACTAAACAGTAGATAATCAACTAAACAGTAGAAAATTAAGACAGAATTGCGAAGGCTTTGAGACGTTGCAAGAGGCGGAGACAGTTTCACGGGGCTTTGAGGTCATTCTGCATATTAGAAGGATCCTAAGTCATTTTGCAGGGCTCTTGGCGGCTATGCATCTGCTCCCTCGAAACCACATTTGAGAAAAATTTAATTTTCGTAAATAAAATTAAAATATCTCATTGATCCTTGATAAAAAAGATTTAAAGGGTATCATTTAAAATCCGACATACCACTCAATAAAAGGAGGACAGGGTTAATTAAAACTACATTCCAGTCTCTCTTTAAGAGACACTATTTTTGTGCAAGAAAAGAATGAATAACTTACTGTATGGTTTCCTGTCAATGATATTATTATTTCTTAGAGAGTAGTAAATGGACTCGGATGCCTGAAATCAAATTGTATTGATTTTTTCATTGAGAAGTAATTTTTAACAGAATCAAAATGGCGTCTTGCCCGAAAAGAAAAAAGATTTAAAGTAGAATTTTGAGGATTTGGGAAAACACTTTCATGGAAATGTCGTTTGAACCCCTTTTATCAATGGGACCTCTATAATTTATAAAAATTTTATTGTCAGATTTAACATAATTTATAGTTAAAGGCCCATTTTTGATGTTTTATTCTTGTTGGATACTTTGATACTCTGCTACCTCTATAATAAACCGTTAAAGAAGAAACATTGACCAATCAACTATGTCTATAATATAAAATACAGGGGTGTAAATTTTCTTGAAAAATATTTGTTTTTAAGGGTTTTTATACGCTGATTTGATGAAAACAAAATGATTTTTAATAGAAAATCTAAAAATTTTAAGTATGAAAAAGTATGAAAATAGGCCCTATGCTGACGATTTTTGCCTGATAACAACAGATCTGAGAAAAATCAAAAAATCAAAAAATTCAAAATGAAATAAAATCCAAGATTGAAAGTATGGGAATGAGATTAAAACCAGCAAAATGTAGATCATTTTCCATCAGATCAGNCATCATACCACATTTTTAGAAAACGAAAAACACTAGACTGGGACCAAGAAACCCATTTTCTGAAAACCACCTCTGAATAGCTAAACTATACTCACGCTAAAAGTCTTGTATTGCACCTTTTTTGGCAAACCCTGTCAATTTTAAAATGCGATATCCAGAGAAAAGAGTATTAGTTTGTAAACTTTTATATTGTTTAATGTAATTTTGCTTTAGACAAATATAAATGATAAATATAAGTATGAAAAAGTATGAAAAAGTATAAAAAAAAAACTTTTCTTATTTCCCCCAGAGTTTCAGAAATTCTTTAAAACAAACCACCCCTGATAAATAAATTTTTCATATGTGAACTTCCCACATTTTTAAAGTCAAAATCTAATTAATACAAATTATGGCCTGATCTGTTTAGCCGTTTTGACTTTTGTTCGATATAATTAAACAATCACCCAAACTAAATATATTTAGAGTTATAAAAAAAGAGAAAAAAAGAAACATCTTTCGACTTTGAAGAAAAAAACAACCAAAGCAAAAAAAAAAATATATATTTACCACGTTTGTGACATAGGTTGCCAACATCCCTCGTCTTTAAAAAATTCATTCCATTTGAAATTATTTAGAAAAAAAATAAAATAAATAACAATCTAGATTGGATAAGCGAATAAAAAGATAAATAAATGAATGACTCAAAAAGTGAATAAATAAATAAATAAATGAAGACTATGTGGATAAGAATAAATGAATAAATATAAATGCAAAAAAAGATTAATAAGAAATGAACGAAAAAAAATCATAAATAAACGTATGAAAAGTTGAATAAATAAATGAATGAAAAGATAAATAAATAAATTCATGAAAAGATGACTGGATAACTAGGTGATTAGATGAATAGATAAATGTATGAAAGGATGAATAGATAAATAGGTGATAGGATGAATAGATAAATGAATGGATTAAAGCCTAGAATGTTTCTCTACAAATATTGCTAGGAAGCTTGAAATCCATCCTGGGATCAAGCCAAGACTCCAGAAATTACAGAACCCAAGCACTTGCCTTATATATCATACTGTTACCAATCATTAAAGGTATAACTCAGATACAGCGAGAACCAGAAAACTGTGGAATAGTAAGACGACATTAAATCAGTTTACTGTATTCAATCTTTTTACATGGGAGCAAATACTTTTATTGTTTACACTGGACAATTGCTGTGTTCCATCATTTTAAGTTCACTGGATTGTTAGAAGTCATAGCTGCAGAGTTTAAAGTTGTAATACTATTCCATAGTTTTCTGGTTTTTACTGTAGAAGAAATTATAAAATACAATTAGAATTTTATTTAATGTTGTTTTTTAAGTGAATTTTAATTTTTAGCTTTGAAAGAGACGTATTAAGTGAAATGGCTGGACTTTAAAGTCTCATAACGCTTTGGCCTTTGTTTTACCTCACCAACTCACTCATACTTTATTGTAGCCCTAGAAAATACATTTAAAAAAAATTGTTTCTAGGTTTAGTTTAAAGGGAGTAATTGACGAAATACTGCTCGATTTTTGTGATGACATCATCTTCGTTTGCCATGGGGTCCTGCACACTGCACAATTGCTGTGTCTCATTAATTTTTCGGACAGTTCAAAATATTTCTTCTGTCTTAAAGTCGTTGTCGTGGTTGTATTTAATAATACCTGACTAGACAGTGAGCTGTAGCAAAGCCGAAAGCATTATATGATAAGAAGGCAGTAGATTGAAGAATACTTAGAACCAACTTGATTAGATCTGCTCTGCTGGGTATACGGCATTTCAGAACTGTGGTTCCCTATAAAATCAAAATTATTTTGTCCCAGATCATTCTTTTTCTATTTCAAAATTAGAAAACACGATCTGCTATATCATCTAATTATTTACGGAATTTTGTTAAAATTAAAATTTCAAAATAAATATGTAAAAAATGTTGTCACAGATCTGGATTTACATATATACAAACTAAGGATGAGACTGTAAAGACGACCTCAACCTCTAAATATATCCCTTATCCAAGGTTAAATTAATGGATCTGTCTGAACATTTACTAGCTAATTATACGATTTGTAAAAGAAGGAAACTTAAGATTTTAGTTGCAAGGAATCATGAATTAATATGGTGGAAACCTCAACAATTTCCGTACAGTCTACTCTGAAGTCTAATCCTTGGTGAATAATCCTGTTTATTGAACATTAAGACACTTAGTTTCTTTTCTTGGTTGCAACTGTCCAACCATTTCCGAAAAATTGTGTAACCCAAAGATTTTTATGATATTTTATCTCGAAAAATACATGTCTTAATCCGTGCGTTCCTCATTCGATCTGTATGTAAAGGGTTACCCTCAAATAATGAGGCTTTAATACGATAAGCAAAAGGGCCGGAGGGTGAATGTGTCCCTGCTTAAAATATTTTTATATAGAACTAAACGTTCTCTATAATTAGTAAGCTTTAAGTTCAACGCACTCAACTTAGGATAATTTTAATCCAGAATCCCCAATCAAAACTTGAGGCAAATCGGTCAAGGGGTTCCTGATCGTCATGATCGAAGTACGAGCGTCACATATCTTATAAGATTATCTCCAAGCTTTAAAGCCAAAATACGCACCTTATAATACTCGAAGAACCTAGCATTTTCTGCAAGACTGATATGAAAAGCTTTTACGTTTTTTAAGAAGGATTCATTATTTTAAAACTTTCTGTTTATGGTCCCTAAAATCATAATTTTGAGCAATACTATCGGTATAGGAAGACAAATTTTAGACACAAGTTATGACTTTAAATCATGGGCAGTGTAAACAGGCCCATTTCACTTAATTAATGCTTTAAAGAGTAAAACTGTTTGATTTGAAACAAGATTAAATACACTTAATTATTTTAGTGTCGTCTCCCAAGCAGCAATTATAGATTTTTATGATTACTAGCTTTAAAAAATGGTGCATGTTTATTGCATGATAATTGTCCATTGTTTTTAAGAAAGAAGGAAAGTTCACCATATTAATGTAAGATATAAGACAGATAATTCCGTAGCTTCTGGACTCAATTCTCATTCTTTGTGGTTAACCCTGTATATTTTTTTATCTTTGAAATTGTTGCCAAATAATGTGTTTGTAATATTTATGAAACACCCTGTATAATATGGTATATGGTTTAGTACACTGATCCCGAATTTTCACAGGAGCGAAGATTTCGAAAAAAGATAATTAAAATTATATTTATATGCAAAGTTTTTGTTTCAAACAAAACTATGGAAATATTTATTTTTCGTTATAAAACTTTGAAATAATCGGCGAAAATTGTATTTTTTTTTAGATTATAGAATTACGAAATTTACAAACCATCTTCACTTTTCATTTATCTTACTACCTGGGTCTTTTGTTATGATTATAACATAGTATACAATAGAAAGAGTAAACCTAATTGCGTATAGAAATAAACGTTTATAATGTAGAAAGAGTAAATTTACTCTTATTTTATTTATGAAATATAGGAATAATTATCATTTATCAATATTAGATTGAGATATATATTATGCTGATCTGATATATTTGACAATTTTGAAATTAAAGAATTAGGTTATATAAAAGAAACATGCACTTTTTTAATTATTAACTTGGTCATGTATAGGAAGAGGTGCTACGTTGTGTCTGTCCTAGAAGACCCCCCCCCCATCAATTTTGTACATGACCTCGAGTTCAACTAATTTAATAATTTTTTTTTACTATTTCATGATCACAGGTCAGGTTAAAAGACATATTTCTTGGCCGAGCGCTACGGCTAGGACAGACTAGAGGGCGCCGGTGCTGCGGTCGCATGTTCAAAATTTATTAGGGTGGGGGGGGGGGGTCAACAAAAGCGTACATTAGGAAACGACCCGGGTGACTTACACTCCTTACACTACCTTTTAGTGTGACTGCATTTATTATTTTACAGTATGCTTCCATTTAATTTTGATGCGGATTCAGATCCTGGATCCGGAATGGAAAAAGATGGATCCGGATCCAGGTTATTGCTTTAAATTTTAACATTCTTTTCAAAGCAAAATTTCAAATTTGTTGTCTTATTTGTTCGCTTATTTTTATGCAAAGCTTTATAAATTTTTATAATTTTTATAATCTCTCTTTTTTCAAAATGTTCAAATTTGGGGTTTGAAAGTAAATCTTTTATTTGCAGTATCTGGTTGATATTTTTTTCCTTTGGATCTGAATCCGTGGATCCGCATATTTTTGCTTATCCGGATCCAGGAAGCCAAAATCTAGCGGATCCGGATCCTAGTACTGTTTTTTACATGTGATTTTAAATATAAGATAAATTAAATCTTTAAATATTTGTTTTTCAGAATGTAGAAGAAAAAACGGTTGTTGATGATGTGTAACAGTAATAATGTTCCTACTATCCTTGAACCTGTTTGCCTTGATCTTCAATATTTTGGTTATTTTTTTTATAAGTTTTTAAGCGTTTTATTTAAAGGGAACTTCGAACAATTTCCATCTTCCACAATCTCCATTGAAGATAATTAATTTAAAAAAGATTTGATCCTTGTAATTCTATTTAGGGTTAGCCTTTAAAATGCGATTAAATACACCTTTCATCTCATTTTTTATCCGATTAATTAACTAATTATTAGTTAAATAATTAAAATATTATACACCTTGATTTAGCAATAGATTATGTTAAAATATACATATATAGTTTTGCCCCAATAAATTACAGTTAGAAGAGAATCTTAAATATTTATAGTTAACAAGAATATTACTTGTTTATCCTATTGATTAATTATACACTATGCAGCCATGTCCCAGCTCTGGAGGCGCGAATCTACCAGATGCTAGTCAAGAAGGTGGGAAATCTTTTAATAATAAAGGATGAGACTGAAAAGACGACCTGAAATTCTTAACATATGACGATCCAATGGTTCAATCAAGCCTTCTGCCTTTAATAATAGTATTTTCATGGTTTATTTAATCATTTGACATAGAATGAAACAAGTTTACAGTTGCAGGGAATCATGAATATAATGGCAGAGACAGTATAAATTCCGTTAAGTTGTCTCTGAAGTCTCATCAGTTGAGGGTAACCCTGTAAATTTCAGAAAACTTTAATGATTGATATTCAAATTGTTCGAGTAATTCCCTAATTTTTTTCACAAAAACTCTGTTATGATTTAGTAATCCCCAAAGATTTAAATATTTTCCAAAATGGCGATTTTAACTCCATATTATTCGGCGTTGGGACATTTCACAGGACATAAGACATTTCATAGATAGGACATTTCATAAATAGGACATTTCATAAATAGGACATTTGATAGGATATTTCATAGATAGGACATTTCATAGACAGAGGATATTTTTTATCTCCAAAATTTTTTTCTTAGATTTTTCATAGACAAGGGAAAATGTAAATACAACGTGCTTTTATTCAAATAGACTATGATGTTTCTCTATTGCAAAGTTGAAAGGGTGCCGTTGTGAATCGGATTTGTAGAGATGACCAGAAATTGTATAATTAAAATGTTATAATAGGAATACTGAAGCAGTACACTAGCTATGATGATCTTGCCTTGTTCCACTATACAGTCCCCTCTGAAACCACACGAGCAACCTGGGAGTTTGCCTCCTTCCAGGTAAATTAAGGGAGAGTTCCAGAATTTGGGAAAGGAGAAATTTTTTGTTTGAAAATCCACCAATGAAAACTTAAAAAATTGGCATAATTTAAAAATCTGGTGTTTTATTATACAAGTAACATTAAATCCTAAAATTCTCTCAAGAAAGGGGACCACAAAGTGGCCTGAGCTGGGAACTTTTGAATGGTGGATTTCGGGATTAATGCTTAATCCACTCTTGTTATTAATCTCCAGATTAATTAATCGATCGGAATTAAGAATATCCCATTCTAAAGTTTTCAGCTCTGGAATTTTATGTTAAACTTAATTTGAATCTGTTTTTTCTATTAATATTATCATCATGCTATGGCAGTCAAAGGTGGGTGGGTGGGGGGGCACTCCAGCTCTCGCTTCCTCTACTCGTGCATAACACTTTTCATTGTACACCAAACAAAACTTGCCCGAGAAAAGAGAGATAAATACATAGTAAATAAAAAGTGTCTTAAAGCAGAGGAAGATAAATAGGTCTTCTCTGGTTCCAGAAAACGACACTACTGATTTGCGGATTTTAAATCCTCTTTCAGGGATTTTTTATCCTCTACAATATTCAGTATTTAGGATGAGCCGGATTGTCCAAGTCGTGAAGTACTAATCTACCTCCAGTATGCCAGTTTTTCTGTTATATCTCCGGATATATATTCTGTATTTAGGATGAGCCGGATTGTCCAAGTCGTGAAGTAATAATCTACCTCCAGTATGCCAGTTTTCCTGTTATATCTCCGGATAAATTTTCTGTATTTAGGATGAGCCAGATTGTCCAAGTCGTGAACTACTAATCTACCTCCAGTATGCCAGTTTTCCTGTTATATCTCCGGATATATATTCTGTATTTAGGATGAGCCGGATTGTCCAAGTCGTGAAGTACTAATATACCTCCAGTATGCTAGTTTTCCTGTTATATCTCCGGATAATGCAACCTTTGCAAACAATTTCTACACAATAAGGAAATATATTCTAGAATCTTAATATATATAAATATCTGTGGTTTTACTCCTTAAATAAATGTATTTAAATGCCTTGTTTAATGAATAAAGTTTGGTATCCATTAATAATATTTTACAAACTAAAAATAATGAATATTCCCGATCCAGAACTGATCTTCATTACATAAAAACTCACAGTGCCTTTCAGCCTCATGATTCTACTATATTCCCAATATACAATCCCTTACCAGGTATAGCTCTAGGCTGTATTTTTCTTATTAATCCCCCCGCCCCCACACTATTGATGGAGAGTTTTCAGAATTCTCTCAGTTTCTTTTCCTTCCTCATGATTTGAAACTTACGATGAAGTTGTTGGAAATTAACAAGCTTTTGTTAAACTTTTGGAAATATTCACTGGGGATCATTTTCTTGAAAAAAACAATCATTTTTTGTTGGATTATGTCTTTTTGGAAAAAAAATATTACTTGTTTGCGGAACAATTTTTCCTAAAAAGGGGAAGTGTGCTCAAGTTGNCCCCCACTCAAACTCTGGAAATCATGAAAACTTATTTTAATATAATTTAAGGTTCATGGTATGCATTTGCCTATCTTTCTCCATATGAAGAAAAAATTACACAGCAAGGTAATTACGATCATTGTAAACTGAATTGGCTTTAAACAGTGAAAATTGATTGTATCTTTTTGAAAAAATTCGATTTTTGTTTTTAGCCTGACCTGTCACAAAATAAAACCCTGCTCCATTGTTGACAAAATTTTGTAGATGTAGGTTCATAGGGTGTTATTTCTATAAATTGAGTTTTATTTAAAATTTTGTTTTAGGTCTGCTCCACAAATGTCGCTACTCCCTTGGATCCATCGCCCTATGGACCAAAGCTGACCAAGTAGAGCTCATTATCCCTTTCCAGAACATGGAGTACTCAACCAAGAAGCATTTCTCTTATTACAAGTTCTACATCTCGGACAACATTGACAATTATAAGCTTTACATATCAAACTGTACCATTAAACATCAGATAAAGGTATCTTTTTCAAGATGTAAAAGTTTTAGAAATTTCTTCCTTAATAAGATTTGTGTTTGTTTCTTTTCTTTTCAGATCAGTGATTGATTGATAAATGATGCTTATTTTTAAACTGTTTAGGAGAGAATATTTGGAAGAAAAGACTGCATAGAATATGTCAATTTAAGAGCACGAGCATTGCCGCGGCATGATCCTAATGTTGGCGGATTCACAAACATCACGGAAGGCGACCAAGTCGTCTTCAATGAAACCCGTCCTTACAAATCTTCCTATTACTACCTCCTTATTGTCAGCAGTGCTGTTGTCAAATTTAATTTAGGAATGCTATCTTTAAATACTTAACATTAATTTTAAGTTAAATATCTATTTTTTGGTGTAAGGTGGTTAGATTATTAATTTTTACTGTTGCAATGAACAGAGCTGAAGTATATTGATTGTGGAAAGTCTGGCCTATATGGTCCTAATCAGAGGAGTTGGTATCTCACAGAACAGGTACGATTGATTGATTGAGTTCAAAATAATACTTCTTTTAATTTGATTCCCAACATTTTTTAAAAATAAGTTTTACAATTGGCAAACTATCGCCGCAATAAATCTTTTAAGATGAAAACAAATAAAGTTCATCTACTAAAAAAGGGGTATACTATTTACTGGGATGAAAAAATAGGACCAAAACACAATATTTTGAGGGGTGCGGAGTAGGTAAATGTAATCTCTATATAATATATGTTTATGCTAATATTTCTATAATTAAGGGACTGCATTATAACTCTTCAAGAGACAACACCGACCCTAAGGTAAATCCCCCTTAGTTTTTATTCCTATTTCTTTTATATAATAAGTTCTTTGCTCATATATATAGCTGGCCAAATGGCTGAACCAAATTGGTTGAATTTTTTTTTTATATTTCTCGGGCAACGCTGGGCGTTTTCGCTAGTAATTATTAAATTGTAATTACCCAATATATCTGTGTCAGGAGCCTAAGGATGGGTTTCAGCTGTTTACAATAACCAACAAGTTGACCGACAAGGATGAGGTTGTTAACTTTGACTTGGATATACCTGGCCCAGAGGACCTAGAGCCAAGATGCTTCTCTATGTTCGATTTTAACAGAATCGATCTTGTAGAAGACTTCTCGGCAAACTATGTTCTCCAGGTAAGAAAACATACAGAGGATTAGAAAAAAATAGGAAGACGACAGTTAGACTAAAGTTAATATTACAAACAATCTAATGAACATGAAACACAACAATTGTGTACACTGTAGCCAGACACATTTTACTTAATACTACTACTGGTAAAGCTCTCTGCTTTATAACAACATCAAATACACATAAAATTGCTTAAACGTCGTCTTCCTATTCCCCAGTTTTATGGTCCTCGATCTCACTGTAGGAACATGACAGGTTTGAATATTTCAACAACTCAAAATGGTCCTTTTTAACTTTAGTTCATGAATATGAATGATTGAAAAATCCTAGTTTTTTTGTTCTAAACTATTTATTTCCAGGCTAATATTCTATAATAATAATGTAAACAATGAAAAAGCGTTTTTCTATCGTGCAAATTGGCAGATGTGATATAGAAATATGTAGAAAAAATATGCAGAAACTATTCTTAGATTTTGTGACTTTTTTAAATGAAAATTATTTAACTTTTACTATTTTTAGAAATTCTTGTAACAATTACCTCATAATTCTCCTGGCCCTGACAATTCTAAAAAGCGGTCTGCTTTTTTGTGCTTTTAATATTACCAGAGACACTGAAAATGTTGTTCAGATTTCAATTTTGTTAAATAAAACCAAAATTGTCAAAATCTTAAAGGAATTCTTTGTATCTCGGGCAATTTTAAAAGCACAAAAAATGTAGAATTCATTTTGGAAATGCCAGGATTATTATCTCGAATTTTACTTTTAAAATTAGGTTTACAAATTTTTTAACTATTTATTTTTTAAACTTTAAAAAGGTTTTTATAAAAGATTCTAACGTTAAACTTGTACAATATTATTTTTATAGTATTACAGTATTTCAATTTTTCCCACTTTGGGATTCTTGGGTCTCTGGGACCCTACCTTGGGGGGGGGGGGGATGCCAGAACCTCGAAAGCTCCAAGAAGGAAACAGCTACCCAACATTTATTTTTGATATTTTCAAAATAATTGGTATTAGAAATAGTCCGTACATTCTTCTTATCTATTCATTGGGATATTTCTGGTCCGGTATGTTTTAAGGAAAGTTAGCTCATTATATGTTTCTAAATTCAATATCTCAGCTGTTGACACTGAACTAATGAACAATAATAATAATCCTACAAATAAATAGAGCAAATTATATAAAAAATGAAGACGACCTTCAAGTCTTGCTAATGTATTGTTTCCTGTTTATACTAAAATTAATTTTCAGGGGAAGAGCTGGTATACAAAATGGATTTCTGTCTCTACAAGATTTCCTATAATTACAAGGTAAAAAACTACAGGTTAACCACAACACAAAGGGAAGCATAATATAAAAAAAGACACCTTCTGAAATTAAACAACTATACATACTAAAACACATTTTCGAGTCTTTTTAAAGGATTTAAAGGTGTTAAAAACACCAATCCCCTATTTTAGGTTGTATGTAAAAATCTTATTTATTGGAAGGCACATATTTTGTATTCTTTGATTAAGTGAATTAAAAAAAACACCCTTTACATTAATACCAGATTAGCTTGCTCGGCATTAAAATTAATAATATGCGCAATTTAATTTTTACTGAACCCACATACAAGATTTTTGAGACATCTTTCATTCTAGTAACAAAATTAATATATTTCGGGTTTTCTTAGTTCCAGCCCTAATTATATGAAATGAATTCAAGTCAAAAAAGATTAGTTTTTAATTGAAAAATCACAAACAGAGATATATTGGAGGACTGCGTCTGCGTAGGAAGAAGACATATTTTAATTTATTTTCAAGGGAGAGGAAGCTTTAAAGAAAGTTATAATAATTTCTGGTATTATTGTTATTATTATTATTATTGTTATCATTATTATTATTGTTATCATTATTATTATTGTTATCATTGTTATTATTGTTATCATTATTATAATTGTTGTTATTTTTTGTTATTATTGTTATTATTATTGTTGTTTTTATTATCAATATTATTTTATTATTGCTATTTACATTGTTATTGTTATTTTGATTTTTATTATATATCATTATTATTTTGAATTTAGGTTTGAGACCCTGGAGTATACTGATATTGGTGGAACTGTAAATATTGTGATGAGGATTGAATCCCCGGAACCGGAAATAATCCAGGGGCAATCCCTTCGCGTTTACGGGTGTCTCAGCAAAGGAAGGATACCTTTGGTAAGTAAGTACAGAGGCGTATACAGGGCAGAATTTTTGCAAAAAATGTTCGGCGGGGCGGCAGCCTTCATTGGGGGCTGACCCATGAATCCATATTTTTCACTGATCCTCATTTAAATTTTTTTTCATGTCTAAGTTTAGAGAGTTAAATTAAGGTTAAAAAATCGCCATGAAATAAAGTTTTTCGTCTTTCTTCAGAAATATTTTAGGTAAATGAAAAAATGATGATAGAAAAATTGTTTTAAAAACATACATATCGTCTTTATTATGTAAAGAGAAAAGGGAAGAAATTATTAAGAACTTTTAAAAACTCTCTTGTAGTGGATTTTGGCTCGTTTGACTCCCCCCCCCCCCTCTTTCATACAGAAATTTTCATAAGCCGCCCCAATGTTCAATCTAATCTAATAATAATAAAAAAGGAAATAATGTTTGGCAATTAGCAAATAAAGGATTGGTCCTGTTGCTGAGATGTTTTTTAGAGAATCAAAACTTAATTCAAACTTTATTTCGCACAGCAAATAGACATTAAAAGCGCGTAAAATTGATTGGAAATTCAAATGCAAAATATAGATCGGGCTGAAAATCAAGAAATTGGGAAAGAATTAAAACTCTAACCCAAAAGAAGAATGCCGCAAGCAATCGCTGTATAATTTGATTTGATTTGATTTAGATATCTGAGGGTACTCTTGAGTGTGATGATGATGAAAGAATAGAGATATCTGCTGATATGTCAGAGCAAAATGTTACCAAACTTATTCCATTTCCTGAACCTGGAACTTGGTATCTGGCTCTACAGGTATAAGAAAGGCAGGGTTGTATATGTTCTTGAATATGTATTTTCCCTTCTTCTGAAAAAAATTTTTTAGGTATGTTATCTTTTCATGAATTGGGGTAAATAAATAAAGTTGTGTGTAAAAAGTATCAAAAAGGATGAAAAACTTGCCTCTTCATGTTCCATTTTTTCCCCATATCTTCAAAAATCAATTCTAAAAAACATACACCTCTGTGCGAAAAGCATGTTGGCAGACCTGTTCCACATGGATTGTATAATTTGCAAAAATTTACTTAACTGGCCATGTGCTACACAGGAGTAAACTGGCTAAAACCAACTAATGCTGATTTTGTTTTCAATTGGGAATTTCACCATTTTTTTCCCAAAATAATGCGGATTTCGTGATTATTTTTTTAAACTGTTTTCGTATTAAAGAAGAAAAGGTAAGACATGAATCACTGTACATAAAGTCATAATTTGGTTAAAACGAATTTAGAGAAATTATTGAGTAAAACAACTTATTATTATTTACTAGGCTGAATGCCTGGATCCAGAAACTGGAGAAAAGATTGATTGTTGGGGAAATCTTAGGTAACATTTAATTTCATTATTATACATGCTCTTATCTTTATAGTGAAGTCTACAATTTAGTTTTTCTTAAAACCACATCAATTTAGTCTATTTTGTCAATTAATTAATTAAAAAATGATTATTTGTTTGATTAAAACTTGATAAATTGATTGATTAAAACTTGATTTTTGTTTAATTTAAAATTCATTATTTGATTGATTAAAACTTGATAAGTTGATTGATTAAAAATTGATTAATTGATTGATTTAAACTTGATAAATTAATTGATAAAAACATGATTATTTGATTGATTAAAACATAATTTATTGATTCATAAAAGGGACTGAAAGCGTGATTTTAATTGACTCTTCATGCAAAAAGGGCGATGTCCGATTTAAAACGGTAACCATAAACTTTTGTTTCCGCCATGTACATAGATATTTGTGAGCAAATTTACCTAAACCAGGGTGATTATTGATTAAAACTTAATTGATTGATTGATAAAAATTTAAAAAAATTAATTCCAACTTAATTTATTGAATTGCTTGCTGTGTTTTACGATTGAAAAATGGATAAAGTGATTGATTGATTGATTGATTGATTGATTGATTGATACAGTGGTTTGTTGATTTTTTGATTGATTTTTCTAAGGTTTGGAAGTGTTATGACCTCTGTTAATATCCACATCCAACCCTGTGGTTACAGACCACAGTCAGATATCTGTGGAGAATATGGTGTTTGTGTCAGATCTCACAAGGTTAACTTTCGCATGTTATAGGGACGATGGTTATAATTTCAAGTGAGCTATGATTTATAAAAAAGGTGTGTATGATTCACAACGGTATCCTTTAAACCTGTATCTGATCGTTATTTTGTAAAAAAAAATTGTTAAATACTTTGGTGTTAAATAATATAGGGAAACTTTTTGTATACTCCTTGTATTAAATATAATAATCTAGGAAAACTTCTTGTAAACTTCCTGTCTTACATATAATAATCTATGGAAACTTCTTGTATACTTCTTATCTTAAATATAATAATATAGGAAATCTTCTTGTAAACTTCTTAAATATAATTATCTAAGCAAACTTCTTTGATACTTCTTGTCTTAAATATAAAAATCTAGGAAAACTTCCTGTAAACTTCTAGTTATATATATAATGATCTACGGAAACTTCTTGTATACTTCTTGTCCTTAATATAATAATCTAGGGAAACTTTTTGTATACTTCTGGTCTTAAATATAATAATTTAGGGAAACTTCTTGTATACTTCTTGTCGGTGTGCTAGTGGGTACAAAGGCTGGACCTGCGATGAAACTACACAAGAAAACCCGGGACACCAGCATCAAAGGTAACTTTCAATTTAAAAAAATTATATTTTCTTTAAATTTTTTTCGCCATTAAGTATAGATAAATAATTTGTCTACTTTAACCCTGTTTTAGTAACACCCTACTATTAACCCTGCTTAGGTAACACCCTACTATTAACCCCGTTTTAGTAACACCCTACTATTAACCCTGTTTTAGCAACACCCTACTATTAACCCCGTTTTAGTAACACCCTACTATTAACCCTGTTTTAGTTGCACCCTAATATTAACCCTGTTTTAGTAACACACTACTATTAACCATGTTAAAGTAACACCCTACAATAAACCCTGTTATAGTTACACCCAAATATTAACCCTGTTTTAGTAATACCCTACTATTAACCATGTTATAGTAACACACTACAATAAACCCTGTTATAGTTACACCCAACTATTAACCCTGTTTTATTAACACCATACTATTTACACCGTAATAGTAACACCATACTAATAACCCTGTTTTAGTAACACCCTACTATTGACCCTGTCTAACTTGTCCTTCCTCCCCGCTATCCTGGTCTCGTTGTACTACAGGCTCTACACCGAGTCCTTGCTCTACTTCTCCACAATGTTCTTCTCGACCTTCTACCATACTTGTGATCAGGCAAAATACAGTGATAACCAGAAAGACCCGGAATTAATTGACAGTTAATCAGACTAATTTACATATATATCTCTGATAATATTAAACGCACATTAAAGGCAGACCACATTTTGGAATTGGAATGACTAGGGCTATATTGTTATTACCGTTTCATTAATTATATTGATTGTAAAGTCGTCTGATCAACTATAAAATAATTACGGGTCTTTCTGTATCATTGTTAAATATTCTTTTTTTATGTTGATAATGGGTATGTTTTGGCTTAAGCGTAGATCGGTTAAGATTCCACCTTTAAACTTTAAAAAAATGTTTAACCAAAAATAAAATTTTTTTTAAATTATAGAAAAGTTGTTTAAAGGTATATTTTTTCTTCTAAAAATCCAATCTAGTTCGAAATAGCAAAATCTGTTCAATAAATGTCTAAAAATGTCAATTTTTCAAAAATGACCAGGCTGCAATTGACACTTTAAAATAATAAAATAATGAGAACCGTGTTTGTTCCTACTAAAACTTTATATCATCATGGCGTAGCCTAGAGGCTTTAGAAAAAAAAACTCATTAAAGACAACAATTAATGTTTGAAAGCAAATCAAATTTATGATTTTAGGATATAAACCATAAACATCTTCCAGAGCCGTTAGAAAGAGCTTGTCATGCCCTCTACGTTTCAAAGGTATTTTTTCCAATTTTCATTCTATTATTCTTGCATTTCTGAAATCTTAAATCTATTTAATGGTAGGGACAGTTTTTTTTTAATTTTCTGAAAAACGAACTGTACGTTTAACGCTAACGACGAAAGAAAACCTAAAAACGAAACAATTTTTAATAAACTTTAATAGGTCAGGCATATTTTATGATTGATTGACTATTGAGGTTTATTATCAAGGTGCTTTAGATGGAGCTACAAGAGGGTCATTTCTTTAGTAAACAGAAATTTTTAAAATCAAATTTACTTGAGGAATGATTAAAAAATCTATCGTTTTTTTAAAACTAGCATATCGTCGTTTTCAGAAGTTAAAAATACCAAGGTTCGTTATATTGAAAAAAAGAAGGAAACGAAGTACGATAATGTTTTCCTATCGGTTTTATAAATGACGCCCATTCCTACTTACGGACCATGAATTTTTTCGCTTTTAAGATTAAAGTTTACTTTGTAAGTTTGCAATCACGCGAAATTAAATCGGAAAATATTTATGAAACGTGATAACTGTTATCATTAAGTTAGAACTTAAGATTCTAAGGCTCATATATCATTAATTTTATTTAGGAGGTTCTTCAATTTTGTGACTTTTTCTGTGCCATAATGTCTTTCTGGGTGACCATAATCTCAATGGCGAGATTACCAGTAAAACTCGTCAATTTTCTTCATATGTTTGGTGAGAATTTAACAATATTTCATGAAAATGATTTCACTCAAAATAACTTTTAACTGAAATTAAAAGTTAATAGTATTTTTTTTAGTATGACAGACTATTATAAAATATGAAAAAGAAATCATCCAAAAAAACGAAAGACAAAGACGAACTTTATGACATTGTAAACGAACAAAGATGCATTAAGGTGTACTGCTAATATAATCTATATATACTTTGCTGTCAGTGTTTGTTTGTCTGTTTGTATCCATTAAACGTCAAAACGGCAGAACCGATTGGGCCCATATTTTTAATGAGGCCTCGTTTGACCCCAGGGGACCCAGGGAATGTTTATGGTTGATCGAATTTTCAAAAATTTGCTTCTAACAAAATTAAATTTTTGAAATTTTGAAATCTACGAAATTTTTTTTTTATAAATTCCGCGAAATTTTCGTTGGTTTTAATTTACAATGTACACAAAAAAATGTTTACAATTGAAATAGAAGACGAGTCTAGTTTCTTATATATATATATATATTTAGGTGTACTGTTGATATCAGTTTTAGTACAGTACAACAGAAATGGAATACAAGTATTTGCAATCCCTATTCCGCTTGGTGCCGCAATACTCATAATTTCAACAATTATTAGGTAAATTTTGGAAACAAACCAGGGGGGCAATTCATAAGTGAGGGGAGCTTATTTCTTCCCTCCTTTTGGAAAAGTAGCAACAGGGATGTTTCACGCTCAAACTTTATTTAAAAAAACATTTGTTTTAGATAGTTTTTAAAAACTCAACCCAATTCTTGCAGGGAGGGGGGGGGCATATTATGGGTTTACCTAGGTTTTCAAAATAGCATAGTGTATTATTTATAGATCCTATAAAAGACGGAGGTTACTTCGCGTAAATAGAACCTGCACTCTCTGGCTTTCTCTTGCTATAATCTCTGCCTTGTCAGGTATATATATACTCGCTATAAAGGAGTTCCTCACATTTTGTCCAAAGAAATAACGAAAATGTAACTTTTTAAAGAATACTTTAGAGGCCAAATTTAAAGAAATTGAGACGCGACTCAAGATTGGTTATTCCCCTTAAAATTGTATTCAGTGTTTCGAGATTTGAGCCGGCGCTTAATTGGAACAGTGTTTTAGCGATTCAGCGACGCGGTTTTTAAGCTTTAAATTCTTTTAATTCGGCCTTAGTAATTAAGACAACAATTAAGCAATTGTATGTGTTTTTATAAATCAAATAGTTTTACTAGTAGTCTAGTAATCAATTTATTTATTGAAATGGGTTTATGTACAGTTGATAGAAGAAAGAAGATGTGTTATATGTTCATTTGAAATCAACTAACGTCTTATTCAACAGTTTTGTGAAACCAACAACTCTTTTCTGAAGAAACCCCTCTGTCTCAAAAATATATTATTTAATGCCAACTATGAATCTTGGAACATTTTGATTTTTTACAGAAAAACTGAAATGACAATCTTTTAATAAAAAATAATATCAATAATAAATTATTTTCAGCTGTTCTTGTATTTGCTTTGATTGAGACAACCACTAATTACCAGGAACCCTTATTATTAATCTTCTTCAATCGAAAATTATTTCTTGATTAATTTTTTTCGTTAGGTTGGGATGGGGGGGGGGGGAAATCATATAATTAATCTTGACAGCTAAAGGGAAACAGATTCTACAGACAAGGCTTCATTTGCAGTAGCCCGTAAATTAGATTTTTTCGTCATTTTTTGCAAAATGATAAATTTGAGTAAGTTTTAGCAAGTTTTAGCTCATGCAATATTTAGTGTTTAGCAAAAGAATCAAATTGCCGTAAACACTGCAATGAATTGTTTTGAATGGATCTAATAATGGTTTCCTACAGTATGTTCACAGTTTATGGCATTGTCTCATAGCTATGTCTCTTGTTTTTCTTCTTCCTTACTGTAGGAGAGAAAATGCAAAGGTATTTTTTTATATTTTTAACAAAAACTTGGTGGATTCATGTATTTTTATCAAAACTTACAAAATTTTTATACTTAACAAACATTGTAGATTTTAAAACTTGTATCAAAACTTTGTAAAGCTATTATAAATAGATCAAAAAGAAGTCGAATTTAAACTTTGGGGGAATTGAGAGGAAAATTAACATCAAAAGGCAAGTTTTTAAAGTTCTTTTTGATGCTTTCCCCAAAAAATTTCGTATTTTTCCTAAAAATCATTTATTTTCCTCAATTTAGCGAAAAAAATGATTTTTATAGAGGGTCGAAAGTATTCACCCGTGCATAAATCCGTATGTTTAATATTTCATCTAGCTCTAATGGTCAGACTAGTCAGAAGCCACAAAAATATTTTCTACTCCAGACAAACTGGGGTTTTATAATCTATTTAAATTAATTTCGGATATTTCATTAGTTTTTGTTGTTGTTTAGCGCTAATTCATGCGTATTGACCTCCATTTTGATTATTTATTCCCATGATGTTATTTTTTCAGCATTCCTTTTATAAAAGTGGATCTCTGTCAAGTGAAGAAACTGAACCAGGATCAATAAATTGGGGAGGTGTCCGTCCTCTTCATCCGTCAACAATATCTACGCGTACAGCTGATACTGATACTGATGTGCACGTTGAGGGTGTGACTGTAAGAGCAATTTCTATAGATAGACTATCTGACGTAGGACAGTCTAATTGTTAATTGATTTTATAATTATTTCGAAAGGAGCTTGGGTACCCGACTTTGCACGGAATATTACAATTATTTTCTTTGTTCAACCCCCCCCCCCCCCTCCTCCTTCCGGGACCCACTGGACGTGTGTCATGTTTATAAATTATGCTTGTTTATTGTTTTAGATTATTATAAATTAAAAAATAGTAAAAGATGCCAAACGATTTAATCAGATCTGTTACCAGCATTTTGATTAATATTATGATCAGCAAGATTTTTATTTTCTAACTTCCCCATCAGGCGTTAAAGGAAGAAAAGGTTCAAGAATCCAAACCACGAGAAACAGTTATTAATACCATTTCCACGCATATCAGTAATCAGTATTCCTTAAAAGTATTTTTAAACAACAAAAAAACCTTGATCTAAAAGGGATCATGGTAGCGTGCGCCGGTTAGATCAAGGAGTCCACGGGAATTCCTTAGCTTCTTCAATTGAATTGAATTGAATTGAATTGAATTGGGTCAAATTTTAATGTAAAATTGTACAATAATGCTCAGTTAGAGCTTGTTTGTTATGTAATATTGTAACATGTGCATACGTAAAGTACTAGTCCAAATAGAAAATTTTATTGCTAGGCTAGCAAATAATTTTAAAGCATGAAGATTGATTAATTCAATTTTAATTCAGGAACCTTAGCTTTGTTTACAAACAAAGTGTACTGCAATTTGTTGAAAATAAAACATTTAGAGCAAAATTAAAATTTCTTGTATTTAATGAATTATTATGTAAAATGTTATAACTTTAGTTAAAAATTAAATATATTAATAAATAGATGAATTTAAAAACTAAAGCTTGTTTTAATTGTTTAAATATGGATATATTTTATTTATGATAATTATTAGGGACCCACTAGCAAATTCCTGTTACTAACTACACAGGCTTAAGTTATCCTTAGAATTGTCACATTTTAAGAGTTTTCGGTCAGCTTACAGTCTCATGAATTTACGATTGCAGTTCTTTAATTGTTGAACATTTTTGTCCTGCTCCTCATAAGCAAAGTATGGAGAGGAGCAAAGCTGAATAAACACAAACAACTTACCGCGTACACTGTTGTGTATATGCGTAGAGACTGCAGTACACAAGCAAATCCTATATCTAGGGCAGCAGCAGAACATAGAGGACTCCAGGTGTGAGTCATCTGTTTAGTTTGTACACATTATAAAGTAGTCAAGGGGAGTGGGGCAACATTTGTCTAAAGCTGTTTAAAAGTAAGGTAAAAAAATCGCGTAGATCGATGACATTTTTATATGGTTAGTTTTCCCTGTTCATGTACGCTCTCGATTTTTATGAACGTTAATTCTGAAAAAGTGTTGAGGCCCCTCCTCCCCTTCTTTTATCAGTTCAATTTTACTCCCAATGCTGAACAAATCCTTTAATGAATATATCATTTTACGAATTAAACTCCCGGGGGGGGGGGGGATTGATTAATTGGAGAAAATGAAAAATTGAGCCTCAAGAGGCAAGTTTTTCATCCTTTTTGATACATTTTACCAAATAAATTTTTGGGGGAGATTTTTCAAGAAAGCATACACCCCTGTCTTTACCTCGTAGCAAGAATAATCCAGGGGTCTGAACTTGCTGAGCGCTAATCCCATTTTTCAACTATCTTTCTTTAACTCTAATATTTTGGTATTTAAAATATAAAATTTCTCATATGGGCAATTTCTTAGACGTTCTACCATAGGTAGAACCAAAGTCACACTATGGTTACGCTTTACCAGAGCAATGTATATAGATATATACGACCTAAGAACAAGTTAAGAACAAGAAATGACTGAACCTACAACCTACTCCACTTCATGTAATTTAGGATGAAAAACTATAAATCTAGAATATTTTATATCTAACGCAGTTTTTAAACTTGAAATGTGAAAAATGTTGCATTCTGCCACTGCTAGAAATTAAATAAATACATTAAATATAAAACAGCTTGAAAGTGTTCAACAATTACAAGAATTTCTTTAGATAAATCAGGAAAAGTCTGTCAATCTTGATCAGTCAAAGATTTAAACTTTGAAGGGTACCTTTGTTAATCGAGGATGCCCTGTTAAAATCGAATTTTGCTTAAATTTATGTATCACAATTCACAAAATCAAAAATTATTCTGAACTGCATTTAATATAATATCAGTTAAGAAAAGATAAGAGTAGTGTCATTAAGCTGACTAATCTAAACATATAAACTATTTACTTGTTGGGATAAAGATAAAAGTACAGGGGTAAATATTTTACTTTTATATATTTTCTATTTTCACGGATTTTTCTAGGAACAACTTGGAATTTGCTATAATTTTTTGAGCTTTACTGTACTGTAAAGAAAGATCCTGGCAATATTAAATGGGAACCAAGGAGTATGGAATAGAAGGTCGAGATACAACTGACGCGGACCGCCCTACCATATGATTATACATGCTTTACAGACGGTACTTCATTTGAATAAAAAATATTTGTCTGATGTACAATTACCGCGTATACAATAACCTATTCTGAATATTTCTTATAAAAATGAAGTACAGTCTGAAAAGCATGTATAATCATATGGTAGGGCGGGCCGCGTCAGTTATATCCCCCTTCTATTTCATACTCCTTGGCGGGAACGCATGAAAAATTTAAATTTAGATTAAATTAGTGAAACAAAATCACACCTTCTTCCCATTCTAAAAACCACTACAGTGGTCGGCGTTTATATGAATACAATGAAGACGACATTTCTGTTTGAATTTTTATTTCTAGCTAACAAGATTGTTTCAAGTTACAAGTTTACAAGCAAACAAACAGTTCTCTGTCTCCCAAAGAATTAAAATTATAAAATAGTTTTTTTCAGAGGTGTACGCATTTTTTTACTGCAGTGTTCTGTCTCTGGGCCGTAAAGTAAACACAAGACGGATGTCACAGCCTGACATGTGAATGATGTGAACAATCTTTCACATTAGAAATCAATGAAACATTCTGGTCGCAGGAAACTATTGTGTGAATTATCAAAATTATCAAAATTAATGCTTTAATCCTCAAATTAAGCCGCGGCTCAAATCCTTTAAATTTGGCCTCAGGTTTCAACATGTACGCAGACAATACGCAAGAGCAATCAATTTTCCTCGCCTTATTACCTAGTCTTTTTCCATGTTTGATGCGTCTCCATACTGTTTGAAAGCTTGGTAGAAATAAAAAATTGAAATTGAAAGGCGTCTTAATTGTTTTGTATATATACGACGATCACTGTAAACTTCTGATCTGTTGACATGTCCACTTCACAACGGTGCCCATAATATGAATTAAAAATAAAATTTTAATAATTTTGAAAACTAATTATTTTCAATTGTAGTTCTACTCTACTCGCGCATTTATACTGTAATATAACATGAATAAAACTCTTTTAAACCTAGAAAAACGACAATATCTTCCACATCATTGATTAGATTAAGGTATATAGGGTACCGTACAGAATTCGGCATTGCCATCTTTGCATGACGGGTAACATGAAATTACACTTAAAGTCCCTTTAAAAATTTCTTAATAAAAAAGCAACACAATTTCTCTTTTTATCTAGTAATCTGTCTCTTCTCTTAGAAAATATTTTATTTTATTTCTTTATCTATGATTGCACCTTCACTATCAGTAGCACCGTGCTGTTTATTAGTGTGCACTTTTAAATGCTCTTTTCTTGTAAACCCAACATCACATATATTACATTTAAAAGGCTTGATGTTGCCGTGTGTCATAATGTGAAGTTTTAACTTATCAAATCTGTGAAACTCTTTTTCGCAGTTCATATGCTCCTTAAATGGACATTTAAATTTCTTGTGCGCGTTGTGTGTCAACATATGACGCTTCACTTTATCTTTACGATTAAAACGCGCGCCACACTCTGTGCACGAGAACGGTAACTCTCCAGTATGAATCAGTTTGTGCGCTTTGAGATAGAAATCATTCTTTAAAAGTTTTCCACAGACATCACATTTAAAACTGCCCTCAGTATGGGAGGACGCCATGTGTTTTCTCAAATATCGTCCGGCAGTAAACACTTTGCTGCAAACATTACAGGGGTAAGAGTGGGTGTCTGTTTGAAGATGGTAGTCGTATGATTCTGCTGAGGTATATTTGTTTTTGCAATGTTTACATTCGAAAACCTGTTTCTCTCTGGTATCCTGAAACATATTGTTTAAAGAGATTGTTCGTTGAAAAAATATTTCATTATAACCTCATTTTTAGCTAAGATATACTCATTTTTATCTAAGATATAATCATTTTTAGCTAAAATATACTCATTTTAAGCTAATATATACCCAATTTTCACTCAGAAATACCCATTTTTTACCTAGCTTTGTTTACGTATTGATATACCCAATTTTGTTTACTAAGAACACAAAAAACCTGTCAAAAATATGCAACTTGAATAAATCAAATGTACTTTCTGTCAAGACAACCATAATATTAATTTTATTCTAATATTTGATATTTAATTCTACTATTCAATTCTACTATTTCATTCTACTTTTTCATTCTACTATCTAACTCTTCTATTTAATTCTACTATTCAATTTTATTCTACTGTATAATAGTACTACGTAATTCTACTATGTAATTCTACTATTTAATTTAACTTTTTAATTCTACTATTTCATTCTACTATTTCATTCTTCTATTTCATTCTTCTATTTCTTTCTACCCTTTAATTCCACTATTTAATTCTACTATTTCTTTCTAATATTTAACTCTACAATAATATAAAATGATTTTTTCAAATTTTAGAAAGTTGATAAATTGTACTTAAGCACAGGGTTACACAGAAAGAATGAGAATGTAAAGACGACCTATAACCCTTAAAGTATATCAATTGCAAGGTTAAATTAAATACCTTAATATAATGGCCGTTTTAATGATTGGAAAAAAAGAAACCTGTTTATATTTTCAGGGAATCATAAATATAAGGAAACAGACGGTATACATTCAGTACATTTATCTCTAAAGTCTCATCTATTGTGGGTAACCCTGCATTTAGATCTTGTGTCCACATCTGCTTAGGATAGGGCGAAGGAAGTAAATGTTCATTGTCAAGATGATCGCCAGCATTTTTTATCATTTTTTTAACCAGGGGTGTATATTTTTTCAGAATGATTTTTGAGGCATGTTTTTTATTCTTTGACAAAATTTGTACCCAAAAAAATCATTTCTTTTCTCTAATTCAGCGAGAAAAAAAATCGGTAAATAAATTAACAACTAAATTCTTTAAAAAAATGATTTTATAAAAAGGAGGGNTTTACCCCATACCTGGTCTGTTAGATGAGTGTATTGATGAAGATTAAGATCATTTAAATCTGTAAACCTGTCTGGACACACGTGACAACTGTACTGCATGTTTTTGTGACCTAAAAAAATGTTAAGTTAACGAAATAGCATTTTTAGAATTTTAAGAATTAAAAAAATTATAGAAAAAATTTAGAAAAAAAATTCCATCTTAAAAAAATTGTATTTTTAAGTCTTTATTACCCCTGAGATACCCAAAAAAATTCAGCCAATTTTGGTCCAGCCGCTTGGCCAGCTATAGCTAACATATAAATATATATATTTGAGCGAATGACCCTGTGTAGTGTGTTGTGTACCTGTTGTATGATCAACGTATTCTTCGACATTATTAAATAGTTCTCCACAGTTGGGTACTATACATCGGTAGCATTTAACATCCTAAACATCGGGGTCTTGTGGTCAATTGAGAACAAGAAAACTGGGGAATAGAAAGACGGCTTTTAGACTCTATTTATTGTTGTCATGAACATGTCATGGGGGCAGTTAGCACAAACTATTTTACTTAATCAAGCTGCTATAGTAAAACTATTTGCGTTGTAACAAAAGGAATCAAACTTAAAATTGCTTTATTGTCGTCTCCTCCTTTCCACAGTTTTCTGATTTTCACCGTACGGTTCATAGTTTTTTGATTTTCAAATTTGAAGGGCAACTTCTATAGTTGTTATGAACTTTTTTAACATTATTTTATTTATTAAAAAATTACAAGCTCTAGCCAATAAGACAAGACTAACCTGATGTTCTTTAAGATGTGTTTTGAATTCTGTATGTTTAATAAACTTTGCAGTACAGTAGATACACCTGTACTCGTTCTTCACAGTGATTTCAACGCTCCCTCGCTTACCCGCAATATCCTGGAGGAAATTTCCTGGTTTATTTGTAAACAATAATGATGGCAAACAATTGAAGTATATATCTACTCAATTAGTTAATTTAACCGCCTTTAGAGTAACATTTCCAACCCATGATTGCCCCAACAGCGGCATGTTTAGTTACTTAACTGTCCCTTGGGACAATTAAGTAAAATTACATTAAATAATTACCTTTTCCGTCTCTACCACCCTGAGCTCCGACCCGTCCTGGACTGGTTTATCAGCTGAGTTCTCTGTATACAACTTCGCCACGGTTTCAGGACGACATTCTCCACCCTGGGGCCAAACCTTGTGAGTTATCATGTGTTTCTTCACGTTCGACTTCTGGGAGAATCCCCGGCCGCAGATAACACATTGGAAAGGTTTCTCCCCAGTGTGACAGCGAATATGCTGAGAGAGGTCAAAACTCTTTTTAAAGAATTTGTTACAATAGGTACAGAAGAATTTCTTATCGGCATTTTGACCAATTTTCTGATTTTGATCAGATTGAGAAATTAAACCAGATTCAGTCAATTCCTCGTTAACTTTGTTATTCGTCTCTTCTGTATGGTTTGACTTAGAGGATTCAACAATTTTTCTACCAAGATCATCTTTTTCAGATTCGGTGTATGTTCGGTTTTCCGTCCTCGTAGGTTCGGAGGACAAATGGAAGGATGTCAAGGATGACGAGGAGGTCAAGGAGGTCATGGAGGATGACGATGATAAAGGAGGATCCTGGACCTCTTCTTGGGACCTAGTCACAGGACTTTTAGTCTGATCAGGGACTTCTTCTTCTTGTCTTAATATCTGTATTGGAGTATCATTCACGTTTAATAATAATTTCAACATTCATAGTAACAATAATGATTATTTTGTTACCTTCAACAAAAACTAATTCCGACTGATTTTGGGTCAAGGCGGGCAAACTAAAGAATTCCTGAAGATTTAAAACCTTAAATAGGTATTAGCGTAATTTAATGTGACCTCCAAGCAAAAGTAACAATGCCCGCTTCACAACGGTACCCTTAACACCTTTGACTGCTCATCGAACAATGAGATCTTTCTGTCTAAACATATCGGACCCCGCTTGAGTTCCTCTAAAACGCGACTGTACACTGTGTAGTGTGTAGTCTGAACTCAAACAGCTGATCTGTTACTAGCGTAAAGTAACAGCGTTTTTAAACATTCAAAAGTATTTTTTATTTTATGCCACATTTAGAAGTTACTGTTGATATTTTTAAAATTTGTAACAGCTTTTAAACAAACCTTGTTCAGTCAAAGTTTTAAGGGTAACATTGTAATTCGGGGATATCTTACTACGGAAGTTCACATGAAACTACGCTGTTAGTCTTCATTTAAATACTCTTTAGCAACTTCAGTAAAAAGATTAAGGTTTAGAAAGATATCCCTGAATGTTCAAGTATTACTGTTTAAACTTTAAAGGGAGTGACCGGCAATGTATGGGAGTTGAACTGAGAATATAGTATTGTGGAGAACATTTTTAGGATTAATTTGAGACTTATTAAACGTTTTAATGGTGTAAAATTACTGAGTTTGAGCGCAAACTCGATGTTCAAAATCAACCATTTGGTACTTACGTTTTATAAAACGATTTTTTTTAGATTATCGAATAACGGCGACGAAAAATGTATCAAAAATTCTTTAGTGAACTAATAAGATGTTTAGAAACATATTTCTCAGAAATTTATCAATAAATCAATGTTAGAATCAATTAATTCTTTTTCATCATTATATTTAATTTCTTATTCTTTACGAATTTGTTCGCAGATAAGAGTTTATTTTTATTTTTTCAACCTGTTTCTGATCAACTGATGAGCTTACTGTAGCATTTTTGTTATATTTTTTGTTGTCGTTATTTCATAATTTTAAAAAATCGTTTTTCAAAACGTAACCACTCAAATGGATGATTTTGAAAGTCGACTTTGCGCTCAAACTCTGATTAAACAATCATTAAAATGTTTTATATGTCTCAAATGAATCCTAACAAATTTCTCAAAAATACTACATTCTCAGTTCACCACTATATATTGCCAGTCACTCCATTTAAAAAAAGTTTGTTTTAAGTTTGTTTTTAGTGTAGACAAGCAAAAAATGGCCAACATTTTTCAAACTAAAAAATATATGCCGGGTGTCTACAATATATGAGACACGGCGATTTAATAAACTATGTTTTTCATAAAGGTTTAAATTTTAAAAGATACTATTTGAATGGCAAACTTAAAAGGGACTGTATACCTAATTTCCAGTGATTAACAAACCTTTGTCTGATCAAGTATGAATTAGATATCCATGTTCTAGTTTCTTTAAACTTTTTATTTTCATTCGTGGTTTCTTAGTAAACGTGACTTGCGCAAATCTTGCTTATAAGAAGCAATGGAGAAATTATCAAAATGAAACACTTTTTGACTCAGGAAAACGATAATATCTTGCACATTTTTATCAAATAAAGGGTTAAAGGGTACCGTTGTAAATCGGCCATTGCCCACTTGCCCATTTTGCATGGAGGGTCACTTGAAATCACGCGTACAGTCTGTTTAAAAGTACTTGAAGAATGAACTAACCTGACCACAAGTCTGTTTAAAAGTACTTGAAGAATGAACTAACCTGGCCACAAGTCTGTTTAAAAGTACTTGAAGAATGAACTAACCTGACCACAAGTCTGTTTGTGATTAAGAAAGAAGTGAATATTATCAAATGATGTTTTACACAAACCACAGATAAATATGTCTTCCGACCTCTCAACAACTTCCTAAATAGAAGATTTATATGTGCGTCCAACTCAGGATCAAGAGATGAGGATTAAGAGATAAGGATTATGAGATGAGGATTAAGAGACAAGAATCAAGAAAGGAAGAGATGAGAATCAAAAGATGAGGATCAAGAGATGAGGATAAAGAGATGAGGATCAAGAGATGAGCATCAAAAGATGAGCATCAAGAGATGAGGATCAAGAGATGAAGATCAAGAGATAAGGATCAGGAGATAAGGATCAAGAGTTAAGGATCAAGAGATGAGGATCAAGAGATGAGGATCAAGAGATGAGGAAAAAGAGATGAGGATCAAGAGATGAGGAGCAATAGATGAGGATCAAGAGATGAGGAAAAAGAGATGAGGATTAGAGATGAGGATAAAGAGATGAGTATCAAGAGATGAGTATCAAGAGATGAGTATCAAAAGATGAGGATTTTGTGTAAGACAATCCTAGGTTTAATTTTTAGCTGTGCCTGTACTTCAGGTACAGGGCGTCCCAATAAACATGGCAATTGAGAGATTACTTGAACAGAGTCTTTAATTTCCAATAATTGATAAATGACATAAAGTGCATGAAAAAATAGTGAACGTCTAATGAGCTCATAATATCTCCGTCAATTTTGAAGGTGAAAAAGTGGACCACATTTTGAAGGTGAAAAGTGGACCACATTTTGAAGGTGAAAAGTGGACCACATTTTGAAGGTGAAAAGTGGACCACATTTTGAAGGTGAAAAGTGGTGAAAAGTGGACCACATTTTGAAGGTGAAAAGTGGACCACATTTTGGAAATCACGAGACTTCTAGTTTTCGGCGTTAAACATTTTAACTGTGTTACTACAAAATTATATTTACGAAATAATCTCACTTGAAACAAAGACGATTAAGAACTCGTCATTTAATTCCCATGTTTATTGGGACACCCTGTAGATCCTCTAAGTTAGTACAGTTTAGAGCTGAAGTACACATGTACCTCTACTCCAGGTACAGTTAGTACATTTTAGACTGTGGTACATCTGTACCTGTGCTCTGGTATAGTAGTAAAGTTATAGAACTGTAGTACACCTGTATCTGTGTACCTGAACTCTAAGTAAATTTTGTATAGTATATAACTGTCCAGTACACCTGTACCTGTACTTTAGGTAGATCCTTTATAGTTAGTACAGTATATAACTGTCCAGTACACCTGTACCTGTACTCTAGGTAGATCCTTTATAGTTAGTACAGCATAGAACTGTAGTACACCTGTACCTGCACTCTAGGTAGATCCTTTATAGCTAGTACAGTATAGAACTTTAGTACACCTGTACCTGTACTCTATGTAGATCCTTTATAGTTAGTACAGCATAGAACTGTAGTACACCTGTACCTGCACTCTAGGTAGATCCTTTATAGTTAGTACAGTGTAGAACTGTAGTAAACCTGTACCTGTACTCTAGGTAGATCCTCTATAGTTGGTACAGTATAGAACTGTAGTACACCAGTAACTGTACTCTAGGTAGATCCTCTATAGCTAGTACAGTACAGAACTGTAGAAAACCTGTACCTGTACTCTAGGTAGATCCTCTATAGTTAGTACAGTACAGAACTGTAGTAAACCTGTACCTGTACTCTAGGTAGATATCCTCTATAGCTAGTACAGTATAGAAATGTAGGTTTATTCCTAGAGAACGATTATTGGACCCCCAGCCCCCCCTCCAATCAATTTAGTACATGGATCTTACAGGTTAGACATGGATATAATTGACCATGTGGCCGCAGCGCTCGGCCCCCTAGCCTGTCTTGATGCTTCTATTACATATCACACTTTGCTGTGTCTTTTATTCCTTGATGCTTTTATTATTTCATATAAATTTCTCAAGGGGGGCCGCCCCCCCCCCTCCAGGAGCTCAGGGTGGGGCCCGCGGGCCCATGTCTCCCCTTTAATCTGCCCCTGAAAATGTGCTGCTTTAAAATTGCAGTATAATTATTAATTACTAGCATACGCAAAAGAAATTGCATTGTTTTTTAAATGATTTCTTTCATAATTTAATGTCAGCATCTGACATATATATTTAAGGTAGGAAGGAATTTGCCATATCATAAAAACATGGGCGGTTTCAGGAATTTAGTCAGGGGGGGGTAAAAAAATATTTCGCCCGAAGGGCGAAAAATTTTTTTTACCCCCCCCTATATTGATTTTACCCCCCCCTATATTGACCCCTATATTAACCCCCCCTGTAAAGCTAAAAAGTTCTATTTACCCCCATAACCTTACTAAAATTACAGTTTATTTTACCTTGAATTTCAGAAATGTAGTACACCAGTACCTGTACTCTAGGTAGATCCTCTATAGTTAGTACAGTATAGAACTGTCCTTCCTCTCCGACCATTTTAACATTAGGTGGTAATTCTACCTCCATGTTCTGCATTCACAAAAAATACAATATTTAATCTGCATTGTCAGGAGCGGTTACAGGATTTTAGTGAGGGTGGTGCTAGATTTATTTCTGAATTAGAATTAGGAGCCAAAAGACGCGCCGCAGGTGAAAATTATTTTAAGATGGATAATTTTTGTTTTGTTTTGCACTGGTTTTCTTTTCCTTAAGTGCTATTGATAAACTAATCTGAAATATCAGGGTGGGTTACGCCCCTCCCCCTAAATCCGTCAGGGGGGTGCAAAAGTCCTGCCGCCCCTCCCCCCTGTGCATTATAATTGACAGTTGAACATCAAATGTTGAAATGATCATTGAATAGCATAGCATGTAACGTATAACATAGCGCATTTCCTAATTTTTTGCTTAAATAAATATTTCAACTCGTACTCAAATATTTTTATTCTTTAGCTTATAAGTTCAACGGCATTTCAATTAGTTGAAATTTAATACACATACGTACTGCTTCTACTGCATCTAGTCACCTAGTGTTTTACTCTTCGAAAACAAAATTTGCACTTTTCAGTCAGCTGTTTTTTGTATTTATATTTTGACGGTATCACAACACTAAACTCAAGGTTTCGTATACAATCCCCCCCTCTCCGTCTCTCACTGTACCCCCCCTCTTTAAACCTCGTAAACTGAACACATAACGAGAGCGTACGGCACAGACGAAAATATGTGATATTACAAAAGCTAACAAAGATGTCTGGTAAAAAGTGTAAAATAGACGAAATATGTGTAAAAGTTGAAATATCTTTGGATGATATGCTTGTAGTTAAATACACAAATAGTGATAATAAAACATTTCAAGGTGTTCTGTTGGATTCTACTAATAGGTAATATTGGTAATTTTCTTGAGAACGATTTTTGGACCCCCCTGAATCTTGCTTATAAGAAGCAATGGAGAAATTATCTTATATTTTATCTATTTTTAGAGCTAGTCCGTTTGGAATTTTACCGAAAGGAGGATTTGCAAATAGGTAAGTTAAATAGTTTTTTTTTCCATTTCTTGAAAAATATAACATTTATCATCTATAAATTGATTGATTGATTGATTTTCTTGCCATTTTATGTTCCTTTTCCTTTGTTTTATGGTCCCTTGTTCCTAGTCCCTTGTTTCCAGTCATTTTTTAACCCCCAGTTTCTATGGTCCCCTGTTTCTAGTCCTTTTTGCCTAGTCCTCTGTTCCTAGTCATCTGTTCCTAGTCCTCTGTTCCTAGTCCTCTGTTCCTAGTCCTCTGTTTCTAGTCCTCTGTTCCTAGTCCTCTGTTCCTGGTCCCCTGTTCCTAGTCCCCTGTTCTTAGTCCTCTGTTCCTAGTCCCCTGTTCCTAGTCCTCTGTTCCTAGTCCCCTGTTCCTAGTCCTCTGTTCCTAGTCCTCTGTTCCTATTCCTCTGTTCCTAGTCCTCTGCTCCTAGTCCTCTGTTCCTAGTTCTCTGTTCCTAGTTTTCGGTTCAATCCTTATAGCAGTAAGGTCCTAACCATTAGGTCAACTGATAAATTTTATCTATTTATCATAGGCCCCAATAAACAATATCCAATACATAAATTAAGAATAAACTGCGAAAGCTGTTATGGACAATCACACAATTTGTTCACATTTAACTGCTATATTATTACAATCTGCTCATTTTTTCTATATCATGGGTTAGGTTAGGCTAAGTTAGGATTATATCTGGGCCGAGTGCTGCGTCTATGATGGGCTAGGGGGCCGAGCACTGCAGCTATTAAACACTTAGTTCTTAAAAATGGCTAAAATTTTCACAACTCTCCAGATCATAACTTCAGGATTAGCCTTCTCTCCAATTACAATGCCCATGTTCTATAGGTGGGTAAGGCCTCTTTTTCAGGGGTGGTCGAGGTTTCGTGATAAAAAAGCAATATTTTATATTAGTTTCGGGCCAAAATTTAAGTTAGTGCCTTACCACAACCCCTATTCCTCTGTTCCTAGTTTTCCTAGACTAGTCCTCTGTTCCTTCCTAGTGCCGTGACTATCGTGCAATCAAATTATTTATCTATCCATCAATCAATTTATTTATATCTAACCATCAATCAATTTATTTATATCTAACCATCAATCTATCTATCTCTCTGTACTTATATTATAATTCCTAGATTGGTGCTAGATAATCCTAGGGACTATGTTCAAGAACCTGTAATAGGGGCAGCAGACCCTTATCCTTCTCTTAGGTATAGTATATATATATATACCCTTGGCCTTATCCAACCCTTAGGTAGAGTATAAGCCCTTATCCAACCCTTAGGTAGAGTATAGACCCTTATACTGTATAGATCCTTATCCTACACTTAGGTAGAGTATAGATCCTTATCCTGCCCTTAGGTTTGTATGAGTCCTTATCCTGTACTTAGATAGAGTACAGACCCTTATCCTGTCCTCAAGGTAGAATATAGATAGACTCTTATCTTACCCATAGATAGAGTACATACCCTTATCTTATCCTTAGGTAGAGGAAAGATCCTTATTCTACTCTTAAAGTAGAATATGTATAGGCCCTTATCTGACCCTTAGGTACAGGATAGACTCAGAACCGACCGACTCTAAAGTAAGTAGAATATTTGATATACCCTCACTCTACCTTTAAGCAACTTGAAATCAATTTTGAAAATTGAATTTGCGACAGCGCGCTCACTCAGATTAATCCGACCCGCACCTTTTTTTCCCGGATAATGTCTTCATTTTTAAAGGCTTTGGCCTTTGAATGTATCATTTACTCTCAGACAAATTAGAATCAATGGGGGCTTAAATTTCCATTTTTTCTAATTTGCCTGAGAGTAAATGACATTCCTTTTTAAAGAGTGGATTCAATGATAAACCCGAGAGCTTGCGGATTTTGCGGATTTTTTTTTTTTGCCTTTGTAGATTTTCAAAGTATCTTTCAATCAAAATATCCCGGCGGGATTAAATGAAAATTGTTGCATACCAAAAAACAGCTTTTTATAAAGGAATGTTAATTTTTCTTATTTAGTCGACGTCACACCTATTTTCAAGATGGTAAAGTTGAGAAGCCTCCGATCTTAGTCCCTTCAGGTAATTTTTTATGAAGGTTTATCTCATCTTTTTTATTCACTTTACCCATTAAAAATTGTATATTGTATTTTCCATTTAAATTAATTTTACACAATTTCCCGACAAACCAATGGCGAATATATAAAGTCTAGAATTATTTATCCGACATCTTCGACATCGGCACATAAAGTCGGTAAAAATGTTTCCTGTGTTAGTAGCTTATACAAGAGGAATAAGGGAGGGGTGACTGGAAAAGGGGAAAACGTCTAATTTCCAGGGGGGTTCCCCTCTGTACTAATTCTTGTATACGCCCACCTGTAATATTGAAACTTTTAGAATCATGTATATAAATGTTTCTAAGGGGTTTGCTATTTATTTATTCACTGATTTTGTTACTATGCTTATATGATATCAATCCAGTCGTTTTTAACTTTACACTTGAGACTTTTTACGATTGAGTTTAACTAAATTATAATATCAGGGAAAAGCTCCAAATCATTTCTTGTTGGCGAGCGCGCTGGAGGACGGCTTGGTGTGCGTCTCCGCGCGCGTCAAGTTTTGTGTAGTAAATGCTCATCTGTTTGTAATGAGAAAGGGGAGAATGTTCGAGAAACGTCTAGAAAGGTAAAAAAAAATATTTTTAAACAAATTTTCTTTTGTTAAGTTTTCCCCATAAGTTAACACGATATCTCATAATTCTAAGGATAGTTGTCTTCCCCTTTTCACATTTTTTCACATTTTTTTACATTTTCTTATTTTATATCTGCGGCCCCTCGACCACCCCATCAAAAAAATGATGTAATTTTGTAATGTACAGGGTTACCTAAAGGATGAAACTTCAGAGACGACTGTACAGAATTTATAATCTCTGTTTTTTTTTATTTATGATCCTTAGCACCTGTGAACTTTTTTCTCTCTCTGTCAAGTCATAAAAAATGCCATTATCGTCCAAACAGAAAACTTAATTTAAACTTAAGATTGTCATATTTAAAGAATTTTAGGTCGTCTTTACAAACTCATTTCTGTGGGTAACCCTGTATGTTCAATATGAAAGTCTTGAATCCCAACAATGTTGGCAGATATCTTTCCTAATAAACCCTCTTCAAGCTCAATATCAATTAATGGACGGTAATGAACTGTGTTAATGGAGATAAAGATGAGATAGAATTGGATCACTTAGCTTTTCATCCATTTTTCAAATTATTTGTGAACAATCTTTTCTAAGTTTCTCTAATAGTTCTAAGTGCTCCTTTATCTTTTGATATTTTATTAATACCTTGAAAGTGTTCTAATGCAAAGATATATTGATAATTTGTAAGATTTGTATCTATATATTTTGACAGTTTAAATCAACGAAATTAAGTTACTCTCCAATTATAGAGTGGCATGTTCAACTCACAACGGTATCCTGGATATCTTAAACTGATCAAGCATGATTGAGATATTCCTTTTTCTAGTTGAAAAATTGTTTACAATTGTGGTTTCTTTGATAGATAGATAGATAAAGTTTATTACTAAAATACATGAATCTGTCACAGAACGAGTTTACAATTACAAATTGATGATTATATTAACAGTACAAGTATAAAGCAATTAGGTGGAAAATAGCTCTTGGCTGTTTTGATTATTTTTTCCACCTAATGTCGATTATGATAACAAAACATTTTAATTAAATAGATTTAAGGAGAACTATTAGAGATCAGGGTGAAATTTTATCTTGTGCTGTTTATACATTTGTTAGAATAACTAGAGTTTAAAGTAATTTTCTGACAATTACAAAACAAATATTAAGACATATTAAAACATATTTAGTTAGTTTTACATGAATAACAATTCGGTTTATAACACACTGTCCTGTAATTTTCAAAAAGAGAGTTTAGTAGTCTATTTTTAAGTATACTTAGAGCGTTGCTTCTTTTTAAGTCAAGTGGCAGGTTATTCCATATCTTAAGAAGATGGTAGATACTTTAATAGGCTCATAACAAGCAAGTTAAGTTGATAAATAAGAGATGTTTTAACGTTTCCAATCTTTTTAAAAATATTTCAAAAGAGGAAGGAAAAAGTTATAAAAGAGGTTAAAAGGGCACAATTGTGTATCAGACATGCCACTTTTGAAATGGAGGGTCACTTAAAACTGCGCCTTCAGTCTCTTTAAGCTGTTATTTTTAGGAGAAAGAAAATCGGGGAGCTCCTCTTCCCAAACCCAGCAACAATCTAAACCTAAAAAATAATTTGAAAGATCTATGCCGCGTAGTCCAACCTGAATTCAAGGAACCTCCCCCTCGTTTGAACCCCCAAAATTCCAAACCTAAAAATCCAATCGCGGTCGAAACTTCTGGAAAATCCTCCAAAGCTTTCAAAGGAAGGCGCAAGAAGGGAACAGTTGCGCAGAACTCTGAGGTTGAAGCCTCGGAGCCGGAGGATGGAAAGAAGAAGAAAAAGATTTCAGGAATTGCCTCCTCTGGGGCTGCTGTAACTGCTAGGTAAGCAATGCATCCAACCCAAAATTGTATTCAATTCCATCATACACCTTCAAGTTTGAAGTTAGAAACATAACAAAAAATAAGAAGAGAAAAAAATCTGAATCTTAACATAATTAAAAGAGATATAGGAAGCTAAAAGATAAGTTGTGAGATAAAAATTATTTTCAGAAGATTTGACTTGGTTCCAAAAGTCCGCAGACTCGCCAAAAGTGAAATAGAAAAGTTTTCAGGTGAGCACTTAAAGGGAGTGATCGGCTATGTAAGGTAGTTGAACTGACCATGCAGTGTTGTGGAAAACTGCTTTCGGATTCATTTGAGACATATTAAACTTTTCTGAGATCTGTAAATCCTGAGTTTGAGCACAAATTCGACGTTCAAAACTCCTACTTTGGGGGTGAATTATTAAATAACTACAATGAAAATTAAAGTAAAAATTATACAGTTTTCTAATTAGATCATGGTTAGGAACAAATTTCTCAAAAGAGATTTGTCAATAAATCAATGCTAAAATCGATTACTTCGTTTTCATTATTATATTGAATTTCTTATTTTGTTTGAATTTATTCGCAGATTTCTTCAAATTCTTCAAATGTCGTCTTTTCAATAATAATTCTAGAAAATCTGCAGAAAATCTTTGTGAATAATGAGAAAATAGAAACTAATAATTGAACAAATTATTTATTTTCGATGATAAGATTAATTTTCATTTTCTCAACATGTTACTATACATGACGTCTGTAGTTTATTGTAGAACTTTTTTGCATTTTATGTCATCGTTATTTAATAATTTAAAAAATATAATTCTGAAAACGTATCCACCCCAAAGAGGAGTTTTGAACATTGAATTTGCGCTCAAACTCAGGATTTACAGATCTTTAAAAAGTTTAATGTGTCTCAAATGAATCCGAAAGAAGTTTTCCACAACACTGCATACTCAGTTCAACTACCATACATAGCCGGTCACTCCCTTTAAAGAGACTGAAGGCGTAATTTCAAGTGATACTCCATGCAAAGATGGCCAGACCAAATAACAAGTATGAATTAGATATCTTCCACTTTATTGATCAGATAAGGGCTTCAAGTGTACCGTTGTGAATCGGGTATTGCCGTCTTTGCATGAAGGGTCACTTGAAATAACACTTACATCCCCTTTAGTAGTTGGATTTAAAATGTTGGTTTCTATTATCCGATGTGACGTAATATAACATCAGGGATAATACTAAATCCGGGACAACATGTTTCTGCCAAATCAACATTTTAGAAAAGATGTTTATAATTATAAAAAAGTGGAGACCTAATCTAGAAAATCTTTTGATTAAAATTTATAAAGAAAATCTTAACAAAACATATATGATTTATAATTCACCAATCAAATCTACTTCAGCTTAAAAAGATATATTAAAAACTAGTCAAATTCGTAAAATAAGTTGTAATAGTAAAAAAACTTAAAAGATTCGAAAAGATTATTTTTTCCTTAAAGTACGATTAAAACTTTTGTATTGTTTAGAACCAGGAGTTTTTAAGGAATTACAGTCAAGCAATAGGTAATTTTGTTTCTTTTTCTTTTTTTTCTTGAACTTATAAAAGAGTTGGAGGAGTTTTATCTTTAAAAAAAAGGGGGGGGGGTGATCTAGATTTTACATTTCATTTTAATGAGATGAAGGGGGGCGGTGATGATTAATGATTTTTTTTGTTTTCTTTTAAACAAACTATCATTAGAAAACGGAGCTTTTTTTTAAAGCAGGGGTGTATATTTTGTGGAAAAATGATCCCCCTCCATCAGAAAATCGTTCTTTCATGAAGTTATGTATAGCTAGTTTTTTTAGGGTATCAAAGTTAATGAAAAAAACTTGCAAGTTAATTTTTTCTTCTTTTCCGCCAAATCATCAAAATTCTTTTTTGTTGGAGAGAGAGAGGATAGAAATGGTATTTAAAATATTGGTTCCGCCAAAACTCCTGCTTTTTTGTTGGAGAGAGAGAGGATAGAAATGGTATTTAAAATATTGGTTCCGCTAAAACTCCTGCTTTTCCAACAAAATCATTATTTCTCAAACGTATTCCACTTTGACGACATTTATCCCAGAAATTTTTGCGTTTGTGTTTAAACGTATATTTAAAAAGTAAAATGGGAAATATATATGTTCATTATGTTTTATAAGTTTTGTTCAAAGTTCAAACTTAGCTGTAACTTGCATGAGAAACTCGATTTTTTATGAGTTTTAATTTTTTGATGCAAAGAGTTGATGAGAAGTAATCAAAAGTTGACATACTTTTGAAATTTAGTTGAGTTTCATTTTGTTGCACTATTTTTAAATGTTAACAAATCTCTTTAAAGGATTGAAAGTGAAATGCGGATATCTATTCCGGAACCGGAAGCTCGGATATCTGAACCGGAAACTCAAGGTAGGTCAAATAATTTATTAAAGGGATTGTAGACGCAACATCAAGTGACCTCCATTTTTGTGAAACGAGTATTCTCACTTTATTTCAAAAAGGCACAGTCTCTTTGAAAAAAGTAATTATAATTGGTAGAAATTTACAATGTTTTCTTTAAGCAATTAATATTATTTCACATTGTACCTCATTAGCTCTGCAAACCAAATTAAAATTTTAATTACCTACTTCACATGTAATTGTTTGTGTCTAGAACCGGTTGCCGCTATATGCACTTAGTTAAAGTCTCTTGATGAATTGATTTATGTATTCCATTGTAATTTGTAACTTCAGTGCTAAAGTTGATTAATCGATTAATTGAAATATTCATGGATTAGAATGGTGAAGGAGAGTCTGGTACCAACTTTGATGAATTAGAGAGGTCACTAAACTACCTACCATGGGTTCAAATCCTGTATCACCGATTCAAATCCTTATCAGTCTTTCTATTTGAATCAGTGTTTTAAGATTTAAACCTACGGTATGTAGTTCAAAGGCCTCTCCAGTTTATTATTATTATTGTGGTTTTGGTGTGATAAGCAAAATTGCAACTATTGTTTGATTAATTAATTGATTGATTGATTGTAGTGACCTCAACCAGTGAACTAAGTCCTGGCAGTCAGGTCTCCAGCTCAGCTGATACGGTCAACCAGCCTCTTAAAATCAGGTCAGTTTCGTAAATCACCCGTCAGTCAATCTATATAGAAATATAATTTTTCACTTTAAAATAAGGAAAAATGGCAAAATTGTTAGGCCGAACCGTTCCCCCTCTAAGTAACTAAAGGGTATCCCAATAAACATGGGAATTGAGAGACGACTTTGATTTCTTATGTTTAAGGCCTGTCAATGAAAGTAAAAAACGAGGCTGTACTCTTACGAGCTTTTCATGAAGTGGTCTAAACCTTTCTTTTATCTCAAAAATTTACAAAGATTAAGACTAATACTAAGACAATTTGGATTTATTAAATAAATTAAAACTTGTACAAATTTGCAATATCTGCGTCAATTTTGAAAATAAAAAATGGTAAACTACATTATGAAAACCTCAAGACCAGTCGTTTTCGATATTAGATGTTTAATCTGGAATACTGCAATAATTGTGTTTATGAAAAAATTCCACATGGATCGTAGACGCTATAAAAGTCGTCACATAATTCCTTTGCTTATTGGGACCACCTGCAGTTGAAAGAGTTAAATTCTTAAGATCTTATTCATTGTCTCTGTAATATAAATCCTGAAGTATACAAAGAAACCATATCAAAAGCTATTAACTTTCCGCTAGAAATAAATAAGAATATATCAGTTATGCTAGATCACACAAAGGTTCAAAGTGCACCGTGTTAAATTGGGGATGCCACTGTCATATGGAGGACCACTTGAAATTACATCTACATAACATTTAAGCACTCTAATACAAATTATCTAGATTTTCCAATGTTGGGAAACAAAGAAGGAAAAGTGCCAATGTAGCAATTCAATATAGCATCATTAAACCTAAATCAGGTATTATTGTTGTTGTTGTCGTAGTTGTTTTCGTTGTCGTTGTCGTTGTCGTTGTCGTTGTCGTTGTCGTTGTCGTTGTCGTTGTTGTTGTCGTTTTCGTTGTCGTCGTCGTTGTCATTTTCGTTGTTGTCGTTGTCAATGTTGCCGTTGTCATTGTTGTTGTCATGGATGTTGTATTTGTTGGCATGTTTTTTTTTCGTTGTTCATGATGATAATGTTATTGTTGTTATTATCATCGTCGTTGTGGCCGTTGTCGTTGTCTTTGTCGTTGTTGTTATATATGTTTATATTCAGGGTGAACTGCAGGTTATATTCCCTGCCCGGAGATCTGGAGAATATCGTGTGACCCTGTGGGTTGGAGGACGGGAGGTTAGATCTAGTCCTTGGGTTAGATATGTTCTACCCAGGGCACCTCATCCACCTTCATGCAAGGTAAATCGCCATCTTCTTTCTCTATAAATAGTCTTGTTTGGAAACCTAGGTTAGCCTGGATATTAAAACTATCCAATAATAAGCTGGTTATCTAATCTTTAAAGAAAGCTAAGACCATTTCCGTGGTTCTACCAAGTTCCCCATCAAAATTTAAGGCTAATCAGTCAAGGGATTCCTGATTAATGATCGGACAATTTATATATATATAGAATACACATACATAGAAAGGTTTACACCTGACCGAAATTAACAAATAAAATTAAATTAGATTACTAAATACTGTATTACCTTAGCTGTGCTAATACGTAACAGAAGAATAAAAATAATCAATATCTTCAGTTCTAATAATCCTTGATCTTCTTGTGTCAAATTATCAAATACTAGCGTTGCCAGTGGAATTTTTAGAACACTTGAAAAAAATATGTCAAATTTTGAAGAAACAAATTTCGCTTTTTTACTCCGAGGGTAAAGCCGTTTGGTCTGCTCTAGTTAAGATATATGATTTAACAGATTTATCATACATGTAGATCAGAGGCCGGATTTAATGAATAACATGTTACATGAACCAGTTGGAGTACTTCCATTAAATCCTACCTATGTTAGGTTATTGGAGCTTGGGGAGTAGGACGAGGACTGGTAGTTCAGTCTGGAGGTCCTTCTCAGTCCTTACTCCAGATCAGGGACGAGTTCGGGAACCCGGTCAACTGCTCCAGGTAAATTAATAAGTTTTAGATCAAAACTTTTGTATTTGAAATATTTTTGCTTAGTCTATTCCCCCCTCTAAACCCTCGCAATTTAAGTGCCCTTATTTGTCGATTTAAACGTAAGCCTTTCTATTAACAGTGATAAAATAATGTCGATTTTGCGAAGCTCAATTGCAACCAAAAGGTTAGGCATTTGTTTCTTTTTAATTATTCAGATTTATTTAATCTTAAGCACTGGTGATTTTACTTAGAAAATGTTAATTTAGATTAAATAGTTACAATGTTGTTTCTAAGAACCTTCTTTTTTATTCTTTATAAAAGCACCCTTTAACTAATATCTGAGATTACAGTAGAAATTCTTTTCTTGCTAAGCTGCTACAAAAGAAAATAATTTTCTTAAAAGTACTGAAAGCGTAATTTCAAGTGACCCTCCATGCATAGATTTCAATGCTAGATTCACAACGGTACCCTTGAAACCTTTATCTGATAAATATAATGGAAGACATTGTAGTTAGTTACCTTTTAATGGTTCATGACTTGAAAACTAAGATTTTTAAATATCAATGTAACATGATTTTATTGATATGATTAGGGAGGACTGTGAGAATGTCAAGATTGAGATTATATCTGCCTCATCCTCTTCATCCTCCTTACCCTCTTCATCCTCCCCTTTCTCCAGTTCTACAGCATCCTCCCCTACGACCTCTGTGACAATGTCTCCTGGAGTATCGGAGATCTCACTCTCTGCACAATTTCCTCAGTAAGTTAATCTGTTTTATGAAACTATAGTGTTCTTTATCATTATCAATCACTTCATCGTGAATAAAGTAATCGTGCTATAATGTTAAATTAGCTGAACATTATAACATTATAGCACGTGCGCTATAAAGTTTTGATTGGTTCCCGGATTTTCTCCAAAAAATTTAGGATATTTTATATATGTAGGGAATGTATAGGGAATGTGTTGGGTCGCATCCTGTGCTTGTAAAGTACAATGGACTGGTGGTAGCTAGAGTACAAATACTAGTATATGTACTCTATTTACTCTTATGTACTGTATAGGGAATGTGTTGGGTCGCATCCTCTGCTTGTAAAGTACAATGGACTGGTGGTAGCTAGAGTACAAATACTAGTCGATGTACTCTATTTACTCTTATGTAATGTATAGAGAATGTGTTGTGTCGCATCCTGTGCTTGTAAAGTACAATGGACTGGTGGTAGCTAGAGTACAAATACTAGTCTATGTACTCTATTTATTCTTATGTACTGTATAGGGAATGTGTTGGGTCGCATCCTCTGCTTGTTAAGTACAATGGACTGGTGGTAGCTAGGGTACAAATACTTGTCGTTTCATCAACAACAATTACAGATATCAAGGAAACCAAATTCAGCCTTATTTTACATTTTCTAATCCTCCCCATCACACCTTCATTCGGCGGCATTTGAAATTTACCATATTGTGATTTTACTTTTCTTACATTGGAGGTGGGGCTTCACATTTTGATTAATAGAATAACAACCTCTGGAGCCTCCATCATTAAACTTCAATTTTATCCAGNCAGTGTGCCCTAAAAATATCGTTGTAAAGGGTTCAATCATTCAAAAATTTAAATTCACTTTGTAAAATTTCCACAGATTTTAAATTGTCTCTTTAATTTTTTTGAAAAATTTGAAGTCACTTAGGGTTTAGGGAGTGGGAGGAGGGCACCCTGAGGGTCTGAATTTATTTGATCTTAAAACTTCAAAAAAATAATTTGGTTTGATGCATCAGGAGAGAATACTACATGAATCAACTAGTTCATATTATGAAATGAATCTCATTAGGCTAGCAGGTAAATTCGGTAAACTAAAATGGAGAAAGCGGTTTTTCCATTTCGCTGAACCCTTTTAAACGGACTAAAAGGCCTAATTTCAAGTGACCCTGAATGCAAAGAGGACAATGCCCGATTTATATCGGTATCCTTAAAACCTACGTGTTCGTCGAGATAAGATTGTGTAAACTTATCGAATCCCGCTTGTATTCAGCAGCAAATTCCGGTGTGCGCTGCTTTCAGTTTGAACTGTACACTGTACACTGTACACTGCAGGTGAATATTGTTTAGGAGTTGTACAATCCAAACCTAGAACTTGGTCTGTGTACATGAATGTATTTCAGGATGTGTACAATCTAAACCTAGAACTGTGTGTACACTGTACACTAATATTGTTTAGGATGTGTACAATCTAAACCTAGAACTGTGTACACTGTACTTGAATAAATTTTAGGATGTGTACAATCTAAACCTAGAACTGTGTACGTGTTCATGAAGGAAAAGCAGGTTGTGGTGAAGGAATATCTTCTTAAGTTTATTCCTCGAAAGATAGTCTCATTCGGAGTTAATTCCAAGGTGAGGGTTAATTATAATATATGTGTTCTCGAAAATTCCTGATTTAGCTTTTCATTTTTGAAATACTTAGCTAACAGGACGCTTCGCGGCCATCTTCTATCTCAATTGTGAACATTTTCTCTTTGTAAAACAAGGAAAAAAAGTTCGCGGATTTTATAAAAAAAAAACTTTCGTTGGTTTTTAAAATTTAATGACTAATGAATTTTGTTGGAGGAAAATTTTGATTATCCATACAACTTCCCTTGGGTCATGTGAAGTCCCGTACAAAATTCGGGCCCGATCGCTTTGACGTTTATTGGACACAAACAAATAGACAGACAAACTACAAGCAAAGTATTGTTTCCGTATCTATTCTTGTGTTTCTTTTTCTGTTTATTCAAGCTCATTTTTTCCTTTTTTTCGTTTCTCTGACGTTGTTATTTTTAGATGCTACTTGATTATTAAATGAATCTATGCATCAAAATTAGTTTTTGACATTCGAATTCGTTTTCGGGACCGAATTTAATAAATTTAAACTGCCTACCCCCGGTTCAAATTTGAGTCACCCATTCAAATCCTTCCTTAATCTTTAACTTTAAATCTTTTTTTTGATCTAGATATTTATTATCTCCGTGTCGAGATTACGTTAATTTTACAAAATTGTTTACATGTAACAAAAATAAAAATATTTTACAACAATATCGTGTACATTCATTTCTGAAAAACGAGATTAAGAAGAGAACAGTTAAGTTACGNTTCTAGCAGGAGAATCAGCACTAAGGTAGATAGATATATATATCTAGTGTTTAATCTCTCAATCTGGTATACATGGAGCTGATATTGTTCTAGCAGGAGAAGCAGCACTAAGGTAGATGGATATATATATCTAGTATTTAATCTCTCAATCTGGTATACATGGAGCTGATATTGTTCAAGCAGGAGAAGCAGCGCTAAGGTAGATAGATATATATATCTAGTATTTAATCTCTCAATCTGATATACGTGGATACTGTTCTAGGAGGATAACCTGCACTAAGATTAATTATATATATATATATATATAGTGTTTATTAATCTATCAATCGTATAAACTAGGAGTACCTCAGAGGAGAATGTTAAATTAATGCTACATTACTGGTTTGACTTAGTGATCTTGTGCCTCCTCTAGCTTGGAATTTACGCACTAGTATAAGCAACTTTATCTGCAGTTACAAATAAGAAATCTTAATAGCTCTTAAATAAGAGGTGTCATGATTGAACACATTAAATATTTTAATCTTAACTTGTTTAGTTCGAGGTGGGCTAGCACTAAGATCTTTTATCTAGGTTGGCTGCAGAGTATTATCTGATTCTATCCCGGAGAATGGGAGAGACAGAAACCTTCGCAGAGAAACAAGATCATTTCTACGCTGCTCTGAACAAACATCACGCAGAGAAATGTCATAAACACGCCAGGAACATATTTACAATTCCTTCGTCTACAACAAAATATAGATATTACAACCTAGTCGACGTCATCATGACATGCCTAATAACTTTTTTACATCTTGGTGTATTCCTAAACTTTCAAATAAGCGTACTATATTCTCTTGTGCCACTTTTTCCACCTGATCTGAAGAAAATTTGATAATTACGTTTTTATATCTTTTATAAATCGTTAATTTTTCAAAACTCTTTCTCTAATATTCTTATTTCTATATCATTGACAGTTGATGGTATAAACATTTTAAAATTAAATATTTGCTTTTGTCTTTTAACACTCGTTCATAGTTTGAAATATGGAAGGTCCACGCTATCATATTGAAAACATATAGAATTTAGAAAAGTAAAATATTTTAGGCTAATTATAAGTACTTTTGTATGAGTAATTCCGCAGAAAATATTAAGCATTATGAATTTTTTTCAATTGAATTTGTAAACATGACTCTTTACAGGATTCCGCTGGTTATTCAGAGAGCAAATATATTTGAATCAACATTTAGGTAGGAAAATACAGTTAAAAGATATTCTCGTTTATTTTTTTCTTTAAAAATAGTTAAATGATAATAAGTTACGTAAATAAAAAAGGAGATCAACAAGTATTTTAAATGTGTTCAGTGTTCCTTTTTAATAAAAAGTTTTATTAAACTTTAGAGTTCTCATAAAAAAGATAGTTGCTATATTTGTATTTAAACGACCGCAATTATTTATATTCCGGTCGTAGATAAGCCCCACTCCCTCCCCTCTTATTTTAATGCGGTCAACCTTACCCACGACCGACGCAAGGTGGAGACTTCGCTCCGGTCAACCCTATCATGACCTGAACGACCGGAGCTTTTCTAAGCTTTGAATAGGATATATAAGTCCTGGATTCCAGATTGATAGAATTAGTTATCTTTAAGATTTCAAACCAACAAGATCTCCAACAATGGAGTTTAATCTATCACTTCTTCCATCAACCCATCTGAATACTTATCACCTTTCCTGTACCAACCAGAGTACCCAGAGCAGCAGATGTTTTCTCATACAGAATATGGTTCTCAGCTTAGCTTGGATGGTGACATTATAATTGTTGTTTCTGACGAGGAGATGTCTTACATTGATCAAAACATGGATATTCCAACCTCTGGATCTGATATAAGTGATCTAGAAATAGAAAACCTTCTCTCCCCTAAGTCAGATTGTAATCAAAGCCAACCCTGTCTTAATCAAGAATTTCAATTCAACCTTTCCCTGCTCCCACAGCCCCCAAGAAAGCCCGTGAAAAGAACCCTTGTTTCCGCAGATATGCTGACCAAGTGCGTGAACTGTATGACCTTAAAGACGAGCTTATGGAGGAAGGATGAAGAGGGTAGACCGGTGTGTAACGCCTGTGGTCTTTATTACAAGCTACATGGAGTAAAGAGACCTGCAAGCTGGAGAAGAGATTTTACCAATTCAAGAAAACGAGATAAAAATATGAAGAAAACTTTAAAAACATTGTGATTTTCAACATAATTTACATTTTTAATAAAAGTTTCAGCTTTTATTCTGTATTTTATTCTTTAAGCTAAGAGCACATGTTTGTGGTTTAGTAAAGGCGCAGTTAATCTTAGAGCAGTTTTGCTGGTGCTAAATGCAAGTTTTAATATTTAATTTACCCTTTTTGTAAAAGGTTTATATAATCTAAGCTTTCTGATCTTTCAAAGTAATTCAATACTGACAACCAATTCTAGTTTTCTAATCCATTTTAACTTTGCAACCAGATGTCGCAGATCTTAGATATTTCAAACGATGAATTATGTTAGATCAAATAATCTATAATTAAAGTACCTTATGTTTACACTAATAGATGTTAAAGATGTTGAGATGTGAGAAAAAAAATGGATATTTTAAACTATGAATTATGTTAGATAAAATAATCAAAGATAGAAGTATTATATATTTACAGTCTACACAATTAGGCTGCAAAGATGTAGAGATTAGAAAAATAAAGCTTGTGACAAGTGTTTAGTTCCTTTGTCTTGATAAATGATAATGCATAGAATTTTTTATAGGGCACTAAAAGTGGTTTATGACACATTTTCATTTACCAACTTTAGCGACCTATGATAACACCGTTCCGCGAAGTTTTCGTGAAAAATTCGCGCTTTTGTATCTAAAATGACGTTAAAATTGTTAGTTATCTCGACACATTTTGCGAACAGAACATCCCTCGCTGCGCTCCGGATGTTGTTTAAGCATAATTGGTCTTGGGAACCCTTGATAAAGTGATTCCCTCAACTGTCCTGTAAAGTAGTTGTAAAAAATTAGAACTTTTGAAAACTAGTTTACAAAGACAAAACTCTGGTGAGAAGAAGTTGCAAAAAAAATCTTTTATTTTCTAGAAATTATTTTTCAGGGCAACAAGATACTATCTAGAATCTGACTGGGCCAGATTGTTTGATATAAAGTAAGTCTGAATGTCGTCTTTAGATGATAATTAATTTTTATCAAAATTCCGACTTTTGTTTAAAATTCTACTGTTGTAGACGTAGTTTCTTGTAACGTTTTTAAAATTAAAACATGATTGAGGTTTGGATGAGAGGGGTTAAATACACTAACATTTATCAACTAAAAACCAAATGCCAAGAAACAAAAAAATCATGAAGGAAAACAAATGAAGTTACATTTATCAACTAAAAACCAAATGCCAAGAAACAAAAAAATCATGAAGGAAAACAAATGAAGTGTTTAATAATAACAAATTAATATGAAAATTTTTTTAAAAATGTAAATTAAAATAACTTTAGATTTGATGGAGAGGCTGGGCAAGACCAGGGTGGGTTACGAAGGGAATGGATGGAGTTAATAACTAGGTAGGATTTAGTTCTTTTGGTAACTATTTTTTGTTATTTAATGCAGCGTTTCGGATCCGGATCCGGTCGGATCCGTATCATTTGGTCGGCTCCGGATCCGTATCAGGAAACGTTGATATGGATCCGGGTAGCGCCAAAAATTAACCAAAACCATGGAATAAATAAATCAAAATGGTTCGTAAATGTATTCTTTACATGACGAAAATTTTTCAAAATTATCTTTAATAATTTAATGTTTACATTTGTATAATAGTAATGACGACATTTTTAACTTAAGGATTACTCAGCGGCAAATGCTCACATGGCGCAAATTTCAAATATATAAAGTATTCACAGAATCAAAAGTTACCTCGGATCCGGATCCGTATCAGAGTCAGGATCCGGATCCATCATCACGGATGCGGATCCGCGGATCCGGATCCGCATCAAAATGATACGGATCCGAAACACTGATTTAATGTAACACAGTTCAAATTGAAACTGTTTAATTTTCTAACCCTTAGACCTTTCATATTTCAAACTTTTAATTCTGCCATAGCAATTTATTAAATTAAGTTTGAAATACAGCGAAACCCTGAATAACGAATACATCGAAAGAATTCATCAAATGTCGCATTCTTCACTTTCTGGTAATGGAATATTGCAGATATTTAGTTTTTTAATTGAATGATTATATGGAACTCTTTAAAACTGCTCCCGCATATTCATGGCTATTTATTTATTTTCGCAAATTCTGAAATTTGCGTAATATAGTACAAAACTCATTGAAAAATTGTCAAGACGACATTTGATAAATTCTTCCGATGTATTCGTTATTAAGGGTTTCACTGTACTAAAAGTTTACACCTAAAGATTGCAAGGATAAAAAGATTAGATGGTGTTACTGGGACTTTCGCGAAAAAAAACTATGGTTTGCTTAGGAATAACCTCCGATCTTAAAAATTGAGCTGAAACCTTAATACAGTAGCTATTCCTGATCTTAATGACTGGAAAACTTTCTATGCGTGTTATTTTAGTAAATATTCATTATTCCTGCAGGGTTATATTCGATGCTAAGAATGGTATGTTTATCCACTGAATTATTCTATATTTCTTCAGGTTTATGTTTTATGCTAAGAATGTTATGTATTGTTTATCCCCTGAAATATCTTAAAATTGCTGCAGATTTATGTTCGATGCTAAGAATGGTATGTTTATCCCCTGAAATATCTTATATTGCTGCAGGTTTATGTTCGATGATAAGAATGAGATGTTTATCCCCTGAAATATCTTATAATTGATGCAGATTTATGTTCGATGCTAAGAATGAGATGTTTATCCCCTGAAATATCTTATAATTGCTGCAGGGTTATGTTCGATGCTAAGAATGGAATGTTTATACCCTGAAATATCTAATAATTGCTGCAGGTTTATGTTCGATGCTAAAAATGGAATGTTTATCCCCTGAAATATCTTTTAATTGCTGCAGGTTAATGTTCGATGCTAAGAATGATATTTTTATCCCCTGAAATATCTTATAATTGCTGCAGGTTTATGTTTGATGCTAAGAATGGAATGTTTATCCCTCTAGAAGAGAATGGTCCTGGACTTCAACCGAATCCGTTTCCTCCAAACCATATTAAACTTAAACACTACAGGCTTGCAGGCAAATATCTGGTTTAAAGGGGTTGTTCGTAAAATTTTAACAATTCTTGTAAAAAAATTCAGTCAAAATTATTTGATATTGAATTATTAAATTAATTTACAACGTGTGAATTTTCATACAAAATCATTTGGCCAAGAAAAACGGAAAATACAGTCAGGCGCGTACACATCTTTTTAGCCAGGGG